TGAATCATGGATGAGATTATATTGAAAAATTGAATATCTTTGAAGGAAAAGAAGATGAAAAAGTAACAAGATAAAAGTTCTGGTCTTGAAAATAGAAAGAGAGAAAAAAGAAAAGTTTTAACATGGTGAAAGTGCAACAGGCGAAAATCAAAGAATCAGAAATTATCTTAACCCTGAATTCTAAACTATTCCTTTAGATGAAAAAATAGCTTAACAAAACTCTGACTAATTCATGGGTAATAATAATTCATAAATTCAGTTCAGGTTATGATTCATTTGACTTGTTATTTTGTGCTCATCATAAACTTTTAGATCAACATAAATTCAATCAATTGCAATCATTTCAACCAAATTACATGGAAATTTTTTCCTTTTTCCTAATGATTATCTCAGAGTTAGTTATCATCATTATCATCTCTCTCTCTCTCTCTCTCTCTCTCTCTCTCTCGTTGCGCATTCAAATGAAAAGATAGAACATGAAAGTTCATCATCAGGTAAATTTATCGATCGAATAGAGAAAAACTTTCCTCTTTAACCTTGATACTTTCTTTTCATCATTGATCTTCCACCTCATGATAACACACACACATCGCCAACACTACATGATGATGATGAACCAAGAAAACATCATCACCTTTAGTGCTAATCTAGCTCCTAAGCTAATCACCATCAACAAGTAATTACAATATGATAATCCTCTTTAACCATCACCCACCCATGTGATTCAGAGATTAGTTGAAATCAATGAGCCTTCATTGAATTTCTTGACAAATAAGATAACTTAATTTCATATTGAATTTATTATTGAACAAGCTTATGTTCAGAGCAATAAAATTTTCTCAACATTATCAAATATCTGAAATAATCTGAATGTTTCATCGTCATCATAAAAATTAATACAACATTTATTGCTAATATTTTTTATATCATTAGCATCGGATAAGCTGGTTGATCATCATCATGAAATAATCATCATCTCCCTGTGTTCATTTCTCAGAGTTTTTCTTTCTTCATCAACTTTTATCACTTTTTTCAATGTTATTTATAACATTTTAAGGGTCATTAACAGTAATCCTCATGAGTCCTCTTATCATTCATTTTACATTGATGAACAATGAGAAAAAAAATTAACATAATTTTCATTTCATCAGTGATGATGATAATAATACCCTGAGTTCACATGAGTAACCATGATATTCAAGTATATAAAACCTTTAAGATACGCTCATGATGATTATTAACATTATCATGTATTCAGAATCCTAATTTTTTCCAGTTATCATACAAATAAAAATATCCATTCCCAAGGAATTGATTCTCATTTTAAATCATCAGTAATTTAGATGAACAATTAATGATTAGTATAAAAAATGATTCATTCTAATATTGAATTTATTAATAGATGAAAATTTATCAAATTATAGACAGAGAATGAATTTTTTTCATTATAATGACAATGAGCTCGTTTTGTTTAAGCAAAATTGATTAAAATCATACTGGATAACTTTAATTGTTAACAATCAATCATAAAACCATGTTAACTATTATATTTTCATTGGCTTGAATTATATATAATTCATCAATCATTATTATCATTGATATAATAATAATATTATCCCGAATAACTCAGCTATTATTATCAGATAATATTCAATGTCCATTGTTGTTCATGGTAAAAGGTCAGAAATTGTATTATCTGTCTGTCGGAACTTGAATTTTAACCGATATATTTAATTGGATCTAAGGTAAATTGATGATGATTATGATATTTTCATCATCTTATGTTGATTGAAAAAAAAGTTCTTGACATGGTGAATTGAATAGCATGATAATAATAATGATGATAGAGTTGAAAGCTATATGAAGGTTCAGAGATGAAAGTGAATACAAAATAAATAAAGAACTAGAATCAAGATCATTGATCATGAGTGTCCATCATGAAAATCCTAACCAATAATCAGAATAATCAGTCAAATGTTTTGAGTAATTTCAAGAGTTTGCAGTTTTCTAAATTGCTGTAGCAAATTCAGCAACAATTGAAAAGAAAAAAAGTTCTGATTGTTATATTAAAAAGTTCATCTACTTAATAAATTCATGATGAAGGTAAAATCATGTTAAATTCATTGATTATTGTTTTCTTTCATATCTGATTGCATGACGATAACTGTATATTCATATTTCTATTCATAGGGTTTTAAATTGGATGCTATTATTTAAATTGAACTTGAGTGAATCAGATGAACAGAAATACTAAAGGTAAACATGATAAATAATAATCATCACCATGAATGATTAACTGAACAGGAAAACAATTGAAATACCTGAGAAATAGGATGACAAAATTTTCCTTACCATTGACATGAAGATAATGCTGGTGATAACTTCATGGTAAGAATTTATTATTATACCAGAATAAGATTCATGGGGATTCATTCAGCTATAAATCTGAGCCTCAACATGATGTTGAGGTGGTGGAAGAGGTAAAAAGTTCTGAGGTTAACATTCATTATATTTAATGAACTTCATCATCTGTTCACCATGAAAGAGAATCCAAAAAACTTTTGACCAAAATAAACCAGAGAGAGAGAGAGAGAGAGAGAGAGAGAGAGAGAGAGAGAGAGAGAGAGAGAGAGAGAGATGATAAAAAAATAAAGTTCTAACTTGGAATAATATTTTTCTTCTCAGAACTTTTATTTCCTCTCTTCCATGATAATGTATTTATCTAATACATTATATTTACCTTGTTTCCAAATTCATTTGCATATTTTTTGCTCCTAAATTCATCATATTCATATCAGAAGCTCATTCTTATTCAATTTTCCACTTTTCTATCATCTTCTTTTCATCATCATTATCGTCAGAATTTCTTTCGTCATCATCTCTCTCTTTCTATCTTCATAATTCATGATGCATCATATATTTATCAATCTTCATGTAGAAGATGATGAAGATCACTGAATACAAACTTCCTTTTACATGCAAGGCAAAAATTTAGAGTTTTTTTTCCAGTCTTTTATTACTTTCATGGAATCACAATTTTTGCGGTGAAAAATTCACACCACAGGGATTGAATATTCACCTGGATATCTTTTGTTCTTACAATTTATCGGCTCTGAATTTTTCGTCAAGTTGTCACACTGACCTAGTTTTATATTGATAACAAATACATGATGGATACCTTTTTGTTTATCGCTCTGAATACAGAAAATTTTCTTACTCATTCAAGTTCATCCTCTTTTACAACTGAATCAACATGATAACTTTAAATTATTAATAGTTTGCCAATGTTACATTAACAACATGAATTGTGAATAACAATGTTACCTTAATACTTTATCATCATTTTATCAAGCCACTAAACCCATTTAAATAATTTAATCGAGACAATTTTCACCTTATCATCTAGAACCATTATCAAGCTAGTGATAAGGTTAGATTTTTATCTTCATGAGCTTTTTCCTCCAAATCCTGAGTTAACTCAGTCAAAGTTGAACCTTTCATGTTGAGTTTGTTGACTCAATTCTGATAAATTTTTGATGTTCAACTTAAAGGTATTACCTCGGTGATTTTTGTCTCTTACATCAATATTGTATTATTATCTACGAAGGGAAGTAAAATTCCCGGTCAGAATTTGGAATCATAACACACCAAGAAAAAAGAAAGAAGGCAGAGAGAGAGAGAGAGAGAGAGAGAGATGGTGGACAAAACATTAGAAGTGGACATTATGATAACAACAACAAAAAGTAAACTAGATTATTTAGATTCCCAGAAGTGTCCAAACCTTTTGATGTATCTTGAAATGTCCTTTCAATTTAATCTCATTTTCTCAGTTAGATGATCATCATTTTCATGGTGTTGATTCAAGCGAATTCAATATCAAAGTATTAATATAAGAAACAAAGAACATGATATCAATGGATTTGATGGGCTTAAATTTAAAGAAAAGAAATCAACTTTTTTATCTTCCAAGATTTTATTTTATATATTCCAAGTCCAGTCTCACTTTAATTCATTTATTTATCAATTTTTTCAAGAAATTGAACTCATAGACCATGTAAATCAGCCTACATTCTGATAATTATGATTTACTATCAACATTCGTTATCAATTGTGCTCCTTCCGAATGACATTGTTTCAAATTGGTTTATTGTTGTTGTTCCATTTTCTGGTTCAGGGAAAAAATTACATAATCTCATTTGAAAGGATTCATTATCTTTGTTCATAAACTATCATGACTGGTGAACTTGAGCCTGTGTTTGATATCTTTTTTCCCCTAAAATTCCATCACAATGATAACATTATATTGCCATTAAGCATAAGTGTAAGAGTATCAAAAGATAATGTCAACCATGTGAATTTCCGATCCCATAAATGTCTGTACCATGGCGATGAAATAACCCAAGCGATCTCATGATGCACAATAAAATTTCAATTGATAATCAGAGCTGATTAATCATTTAAATGAAAATTCCAAGTTATATTTATATCTCATCTTGATGATTTCGTGATGAACTGTTAATCTATGCTTGAACCGAAAACAATTTGAAAAACATTCTGATTATCATATTTGTATCTATTAACTAGAAAATTCAACTCAGAATTTTTCGTTTCATCTTTATCAATATTTGTTATTGTTTTATTTTTCCTTTCTTTCTCTCTCTCTCTCTCTCTCTCTCTTTTGTTATCATGTAATTTCATCAAGACTAATTCAAATGGAATATTGAAATTAGATAACATCCACTATCCTCTCGAGTCTATCATATTTAATATTATCATGACTTAGCTCTGAAACTAACATGAAACCAGAATGAAAAGTTACATGAGACTTATACAAATGATAACATATTCAGTTTCAAGAGGTTATTTCAACATAATAATAAATATAATCCCGAAAGTATTTCAAAAGCATAATAATTAATATATTTGATATTTTTTCACATCTATTTCATACAATTAACTAATTATCAACTTTGTTCTCGTTTATTTCAATCCAATTAAAGGTTTACTAAATGCCGCTGATTATTATGGTTTAGATGAACTAAGAAGAGCCTGTTTAGGTTTTGTATCTTGTTGTATAACCGTTGATACAGTTTGCGCCTTATTGGCTTCGGCCGAGCGATATATTCAATACAAATGTACAAAGTCACTCGTCCAACGGGTAAGTCCAACAATTAAGCTATTAGTTAATTATAATATCGAAAAAAATTCTGCAAATTTCTGTTGAAATGTCTACAAATTAACTTAGCATTCTAAATGAACCTTTTCAGAACTACATTGTTACCTTGATCATATTAGTGAATTGATAGCATAATCATATTTGATTAATAATTTAATGATAATTACTGAAGTTTAATATAATCAATGATAATCTTTGAAAAGTTAATAATCTTCATCTGAATGTTGCTACTTAGTTGATTTAATTTGATTATCATCAAGATGAAAAAAAAACGATTGTTGTTAAATTATTTATTTACTTTAATTTTGATTTTCAGCTTCTATTTATATTCATTCAATCAGAATTGAACTTTTTCAAATGTAATAATTTAAATTGAATTTCTCATCATCATCATCACTTTTGTTCAGTCATCACCATGAAATTTTTTCAGAATATGGATGAAAATAGATTCTATAACCTTGGAATTGACAAAATGGAAATAATCAATTCTAACAATCTGTTTTTAATAAGTGATCATCATCATGATAATCATAATGTTCATGATGAGCATGTAAATTTCAGACAATCAACTTTTTTTTCCTTCATTTTCATCATTACCACACCTTTTTCATCCTCATCACTTTCATTATCATCTTCAACATCTTCATCCACTTGTTGTCATGTTGATAAACAAACACAATGCTTGTCAGTCTCATGTTACTTCAATTCACAAAAAAAGTCAATAGGTTTTTTTTTCATGTTCAACATTTGATGATTAGAGTGATAAAAAAAAGGCTTGACAATCAGTTAATCATTTGCTAAATCAACTATTAATCAATGTAATCACTTGAAGGGTTGTATTGAAATTTATTAATCAATAAATAATGAAAAGTTGAATGTTTACCTTTTAATTTTGCCTCACTCATCATTATCATTGAAAACTTGTGATCAATGAAGAAGAAAATTTTTCAGCATCATTTCCGTTTCCTTTTCGAAGGAAATTGAAATTTAATTTCATTTGATCGTTTACTTTATTATCTCTCTCTTTTTTGTCAATTATTTTTCAAGGTTCTTGAGTATGTTGATCAACATGGAAACGATGTCCTTAGTTTAGGTTCGTTTACCCTTTTACCTGAACACGTTGTCCGTCTGATCCTTTCTCGGGAAGAGCTGAAAGCCGATGAGTTGACCAAATTTCATGCTGCCCTTTCATGGTCCCAGCGTTACTGTGATGCCTCACCTGGTGGGTCAACCGATCTTCGTGAGGTCATGTCGGGATTTTTTGAGTGTATTGAATTTTACAAGATACCGGCAACTGTATTGATGAGGGAAGTTCATCCACTGGGAGTAGTTCCTGATCATGTTATCATGAATGCACTTGCTTTCCAGGTAAGAGGAAAAAGATATTCATAAACTTTGAAAGGGAACCAAATCAACAGAAAAAGTTAATGTTTCCATTTTTTATTCAAAATGATGGATAAAAATATCGAAAGATGAACAATTTCATTAATAGATCAAAGTTTTTCAATCCATCATTTTGATGGAAACAAAATTTAATCACATAATCAGATTAGCATTATTAATGTTGATGATTATTGTTGATCATTGTTACATTATAATCATTAATATTTAAACCTCTTAATATTTTCAATAGTAAAGATTAAGTTTCAATCCAATAACAATTAACTGGTTCATGAAGTGATTGATAGATTATTAAATTCATTGGTTAAACAATGAAAAAAAAACTGATCATAACTATTGATACAATTTATTAATCAGATTTATTGATAATATTATGCGCTCGATAATTTAATAAGCTATCAAATGATATGAAAAAGTCTGAAAATTTAGTCATCATGAGAAATTATCGAGTAACTTTAAGAGGTTTTATTATGAGGAATTAGGAATTATATTGTATTAAGATGATTAAATTGAAATTCTAATTGTGATTTGATGTGTTTTAATTGCTCAGGCTGATCCTCGAAGTGTTGATCTGCATAAAATTGAATCACCCAATCGGTTCAGGAGGATGACACTTCCTCATGCTCTGAATATCGCCGGAAGTGATTTACTTAATTTACAACAACAATCAGCAGCTCGATCGGAAAGATCAGCATCAACATCAACCTCTGGTTATATTTCAAACAGTGATTTAAATCATATCACAATTAACGGTGGAAGCCAATTAAGTGGAGGATCAATCGGAGGTGGTGGTGGCAGTGGAACCGGAAATTCCGGTGGAGCCATTATCGGCCGTAAGGAGAGTACCGATGTTGATAAAATGATTGATAAGTTAATTAGTAAAGATAAAGATTCTAATTGTAATAATAAAGAGGATAAATCAAAGGGTAAACCCAAAGAAAAGGATAAAAGTTGGAGGGATAAGATTGGTAAACGAAAAGCATCTCGTCCTTTTAGAAGAGCGAAAACTTTACTTGATTCTAATTAACTAATCGAGTTAATTAACTCGATTATCGAGAAAAAAAAAATCAAAATTCCATTCCAATTGTGTTAATTGTTATTCATCTTCTTTTAATTGTTTGTTAACAAATCGCTTATTTGTATTAAATTGTAATTTTTAATGGTCAATGTTGTGGTCTCAGTTTGTGCCCGAAAGTGAATTAATTACCGTGATACCTAATTAATTAACTAATTGTAATCTATACTCTTACAAAATCGGATTCGTAATTAATGTAATATTTATCAATCATTAACTAATCCAATTGGTACAATTAATTGAAATGTAATACCAATTTAATCGTATAAGTTTTCATTTCTTTTTTTGCTTTCAATTAATATTTTAATTGTTTCCATTAATTGTTAAAATAATTTATTTATATTTACTAAATCAAAAGAAACATTTTTCTACATAAATATTAATATATTGGTAATAATCAATAATCAAAATCTAATTAATCAATTGTACTTCCAACAGATTAAACATATTAACACCTCGCAACTAATTGTCAAACGTTTTGATTAAATTGTTAACCATTTTAATCAATTCGTAAATCAATTTATTATCCAGATAGAAGTGTAAACAACAATTTAACCAAAATAATCAATTATTTTTTCAACAACAATTCCCTTAATTGTTATGACACGAACTGGAAAACCAAACCACCTAAAGCAAAATCAAATTATAATCAAAACTATTTTAACTTGATGAAACAATTAAACTAAAATAAGTGAATTATTATTCATTTAATCAAATATGATTAACTAATTGTATGATTAGCCCCAAGTAATAATCAATTCTTTAGAGATTAAAAAGTTTAATTAGTTAATTTGATTATATTTTGATTCTAATTGAATCTAAACTTTTTCAATTCATTTTTGTCTAATTTCTGTTTTCTCTTAACTTTAATTGTAATTTAATTTTCCTCTCACTTGTTAATTGTATTTTGTGATATTCTGTTAAAATCTCATATATATATAATTGATTGTTGATCAACTAATTATGATCAAAGAAAATGCCAAAGATTCAATGTGAACAATTGGATGATACATGTACATGTATATTACTAATAATTAATAGTAAATCAAATAAATAATGTATGGAAATCAATGATTAGAATTGATTTGATTAATTCATCATGTTTTTTTTACTATCGGAATAATAAATCACAATGGACTTAATCATTTAATCAATTTTTCATTGTAGTTACTTGTTTCTCTCAGTCCTTTGTTCATTAACCGTTGATCAAGTTGATTAATTTTCTTTGTAACCTCTTCACATCAGGAGGTAAATTAATTGTTGTCGTTAGCAAACAGCATGATAATATAAATCAGGGTGATGATGATGATGATGATGTTGGTGATGTTGGTGATGATGATTCAATGACAATTATCTTGGGTGATAGTTAATAATCAGGCATAGGTTAAGGTTAATGGACAATACTGAATACAATTGATTCCAATCCAGTTGGTTGATTTATATGAATCAATATGAATGAATACTGTTGATTGTGTTGATTGTTTTGATCATATTTTTCACAATCAATCTGAAGAAACATTAATTTTCAATAATATAAGTGTACAATTGATTGTGCTAGAAAATAGATTGATTAAGAAAATTGTTAGTAATTGATTGATTTTCTCAATTGGAAATGTTGAGGCACATTCGATTAATAAATTGTAACTTTTGTTTTCTCTCTCTCTCTTTCTTTGATTGTTGATAATCTAAAAATGTATCAAATTTATGGTTAAATGATGCCAATAATAATCTCACGATCAACTTGTCGAAAAGTTAAAACTATCATCTATTAATTAACAAAACTATAATTCTAATCATTTATGTGTATAAACTTGATGAATAGATTCAAATTTCAGATGAAGGATTTAACTGCTTCGATTTGAGTTTAATTTGTTCATATCGTTGTCGGCGTCGTAACGGGTATGGTAATAATGAAGATGAGGATGATAATGATGCCGGAGGCAGTGCTAGTCATGAGACATCATAGAGTAAACCTTTCTCCTCGTTGTAATCATCTTCATATTGGAAATCATCTTTTCCTTTTAATTGAGCTTCTTGATTTATCTTATTCTCCTGGTTTGGTTCATTTTTACAGTTTTCTTGATCCTCGTCCAAATTGTCACTATTAAGCTCGTTACTTGTAGATCCATTTTCGGGTAGTAAGTGGGAAGGTGACAAATTGTCAATCGATTTGGTTGATTCAAGTTTAGCTGAGAAACGGGTACCTTCAAATTGTCGTAGGTGAATCACAATATGCATATTAACCTCATCGGGTCTACTTAGATAGGGAAAATTGCCCCCAGTCTTTAAATGTGCTCGCTTAGCGGTGGGATACATTCTGTAGAGCTCTTGTTTCACCCGTTCACTAATTGCACACTTGTCAAAAACCTTTGGGAGAAAAACAATTAATAATAGGAAAGAGATTAGTTTAGTTATTTGAATGGAGAGAAAATTAGATGATAATTGATTGATTAAAAGACTTACATCTAAAATTGTAATAGGAATTTTTCGTAACTCATTAGGATCAACGTAAGAGCTGACACAATTGATTGTCAGCCTGGAGGCTAATTCTTGTTGTGTCAGGCTTTCCAGTCGTTCACTCATGAAATCAATTGAATCTTGGATGGTTTTATCCCGGGTCTGTATTGCCAATGATCGGTTTCCCATGATCATCCTTTTCAATATAATCGGCGGCATCATCCAGAATCTAACAGGAATAAATCAAGGAAAGATAAATGATTTGTCAAATTTATCAACATCATAACAATTTGTCACAATAATTTTCTTATGACAAGGTTGGAAAATTGATTGATTATTGGACAAGAGGATTGATTCTATTTTTGGTCGATTCCAATTTCAAGAAATGAATCCAAATTCAAATGAATCATTTTGTGTTTTCCATTCTTGTTAAAAGTTGTTGATGTTTATAATCAACCAAGTTTATGGATTTTCTAAACTCATTTCAACTTACAACATTGCAGAATCTGTGTGATGAAATATTGCTGTGTCCGCGAAACTGTTGCATAGTATAAATGACTGGACACGAGGAAATCTTGACGTAAGCTCGGCAAATTTTTGTATCAAGAAACCACCAAGAGAAGCACCAAAAACATGAACTTTATCCAGTTGAAGATGTTCAATGAGTCTAAAAAACCCATAGACAAATTCTCTGAGTGACCAATAGACTGGATATTCAACGGAGATTACACGATAACCCATCTTGCTTAGAAAAGTGATCTGTTGGAAGAAAATATCTGCTATTCCGGAAACGGGAGGAAGAAAAATCAAAGGACAGGTAATCTCTTTAGGCCCAGCATCGTAAAGTGTCCAGGACTTGAGACCATCGGCATCAACTACAACCTTTCTCTGTGGTATACTGGCTCGAAAAGACTGATAAGCTTCACCATTTGATAAATCGCTGCTCCAAAGTCCACTAGTACCAGAGACGATATTGAAACTAGAAAACGAGAAAAACAAATCACCAAATGAGAAGGTGAAAAGGAAATTTATTTATTTATTTAACTTATTTGTTATACATGTAAATCCATAAGAAAACGAAACCATAGAAAAAAAAGAAGATGAAACAAAGGAAAAGAAAGTGTAAAGATTATCTAACATGCTGTCAAATTGAAATGATTAAATCAAATCAATAAATTAAACCTAAATACTACAATGAAAATGTTAAGTCAATAAGAAATTGTCAGGGAAAAAAATTCCCATTCTGATTGAATAACATAAACACATGAGACAAATAAAACCGTTTAACAGTTAAACTCATTTAGATACTTACAAATTAGACATTTCTTGTTAATTGTTGATTATAAGACAACTATGAGCATGTTAATCATGAAGAAAATGTAAACAAAATTAACTAAATCAAAATAAATCAACATCAACAACCAGGTGAGTTAAGAGGCCAATAGGAAATGTAGGGAGCGCTGGAAATGGCGCTTTTCTTGAAAAAGAAAATTTAATTTAACAATTAATTTTAATTACGATTAAAAGAATTGATTAATTGGTTAGTTAATTAGTTATGGAATTGCTATGGGTTAGTTTGAGGTTGATTTTCGTTGGTTTGATGGTTGTTGTTGTGATTGATTCTTTCATGGTGATTGGGTTGAGAAAAGTTTCTTCTAATTTTTCTTGTATTGATTAAATTTAATTGTCAAAGAATAATTTTTAATTTAATGTCAAGATTTTAACAGGTCCCAAGAGAAATCAATTAATTAATCAATTTGTGTATCAAAAAGTGAAAGTTATACAAAAGGAAAAGTTTTTCATTCAATGTTTACAATTGAGTTGTCTTTAAATTAATCATTTGGTTTGCTAAATTATTTGATGATTAAAAATTATAATTTTCATCTAATTTGATCCCTTATATTTAATGTTGATTAAATAATCAAGGTTATCACCATGATTCATTACAATTAGGTCAATAATTATTGTAACGGTGGAAACAATTAGCAATTGTTTATCCTTGGACCTTTTTTTTTTTACTAGGATGTAATAATTAAATCATCAATCAGGATTTGCAATTAGACCTTAAATCAACCCTTAGTATCAAAAGTAATTAATGTTTGAACAGTAATTATGACTTGTAATTAAAGAGAAACAATAATCCAAAATAATCAGTGTTTATGTTAATTGACCTCGAAAATTGTTCTCACTCTGTTGATTGCGAATCATCAATAAATAACCAAAACGATTTGATTATCATTTACTTTTAACAATACTAATTGTACCGGTCGTTTGAATTTCAATGGAGAATATTTTAATTGTTTCAGCATTTCTTTTCTTGTTATTGGTTAATTGTGATTCTTCAAGCCTTCCAGTCATTGACCATCAGTCTCCGGAAGAGGAAACAAATTTACCCAACGAACTTGGACCTCGAATCATTGGTGGTGAGTTCGCAGCTCCTGGTGAGTTTCCTTACTATGTTCAGGTAATGTCACAATTAGGTGATTATTTCCCTTCCTGTGGTGGATCATTAATCGATGGATTAACAATTATAACTGCAGCTCATTGTGTTTGGTAAGTTGTAATTGTTTTCATTTTTCAATAGCAATTAAAATCGCAACTTTAATTAACTTATCCAATGTTCATTAGGGATGGTGATGAACCTGCCAAGATGATTTTGGTTAAATCTAATTCAAAGAATCGTCTTCTACTTTCAAAACAACCATTTGAATGGGAAATAATCAATGGAACCAAATTAATTGTTCATGAAAATTACACCATCACCAATGAAGGTATTCCTCTTAATGATATTGCAATTATTAAATTGGATTCAAAACGTTTACCATCAACTTTATCACCAACACGGAAAGGGATTAGATTAGCATCTAAAAAATATCCAATTGGTACTCAAGTTGTTTTAGCGGGATTTGGATTAACAGAGTCAGGAAGGTCCCCTGATTTTTTGAAGAAAAAAAAATCTTCAGTTATATCAAATGATAATTATGCTGATAATCAATTACCTGGAGTTTTATTCACCCAGAGAAGTGATGAAGATCTTGTTTATATTGGAGATTCGGGTGGACCAGTGGTTGTTAAGGGAAAATCGCCCAATCAGGATGAATTAATTGGAATTATCTCATTTGGTGATGATTATCTCGATGGTAACAGGGAAGGTTCAACTGATATTTATCATTATCTCAATTGGATACGAACAAAAATTGGTTCCTCATAGTTGATTAATTTGTTATTTTCTTGATTGTGGTTCAGTTCAAAGACCAATCAACAATTGATGAATATAAATTTTGATGAAAAATTATTTTTGTATATGATGAAAATCATAATAAGAAAAAAATCCAAATGAAGAATAAATTGCTGATGATACAAAATATGACCAGAAATTAACAATGAAGATTATCATCATGACGATTAGCACCTCACAATTAGTGTATTGATTGTTATTTGTTTAGTTGTTACCATCAAAAGATTATGATTAAGCTTAGATGATGAAGAAAAATACATTTCATGAGCTGATTTTTCACTTAAGATCAAGAATCTCAATTAAAAGAGGGCCAACAACTTCGGGTCCTGCGTCAGAATATAATCGGAGTGTTTTCTCATGAAGTTCTCGTAAATCCTCAATCTTCATCATTAAATGGTAATGATCGGAACGAGCTTGACACAAGGAATCACTTTTAGTTTCCAGGTAGCGGCGTAACAGGTAAATATAAGTATAATGTTCCAACCTGTTGAAAAGGAAAGTTATTAATACATTTTCATAAAACAAAGGACGATAATTATCAGTAAATATCTCTAATTGTAAAGTAATTAACGTAGAACATAATAAATGTAGAAAACATTATCAAAATAATGATCTACTCAAGTGGAACAATATTTTACTGACAGTCGCACTTGATTATCTCGATTTATATAAATCGATTTCGAAGATTATTCCGACGATATAATCAAGGTTGAATATTATAATTACATCCATCTACATGTACACATTAAAATACAATACAATGTAGATAAATTCAACTACTGATTAGAAATATTGATGAAAATATAATTTAGTTTAATTACCTTACGGTTGCTGGATGAAGTAGATTAGGTCGATCGGGATTAAAAAGGACAATTGCGACTAAGAGTAAATTAACTTTATGATCAGTCCTCCAACGTTGATTGAACGTTCTGATGAACTGACGATGAGCTTGGTACAGTTTTTCACTGGCCTGACGAAACACAGTTAATTTGACACCATTTTTGGTGTAAGTATCCTAATAAAGATGAAATAAAAAATGATTGTGCAAATAGTCAAGGAAATTAATTGTTTGGTTAATTACCTGCCAACTTTCATTGTCGGGATTGAAATTAAATGAAGCTTTCATTGAGAGCATCTCCAGGCAGCCGGCCTTTAGTAAGGCCATTTGATCATCTAAACAGAGGCTTGAAAAAGCGTTTATCTTTTTGCACCATTTAATCAATCGTCTAATTGCAAGGTCAGAAAATTTGATCACATCGGAAATTCGCGAGTCTTCGGCACATGAATGATCAAGAATAGGCTCATCGATAACTGAAAATGATTGAATCAGCTCATTAATTTTAGCAGTTTCCAATTCGTTGAGTGAACCATTGATAACAGATTCGTCTTTCGCGTTTCTCAGATAAATTGGCGTAAAATTGGCCTCTAAAATACGATGATTTACTTTTAATTTCCAAGATTCTTCAATTTCATCACGATTATCATCATTGCTGTTGTTTGTTGGTTCTAATTGTGATCTTATGCAATCAGCAGTGGTAAATTGCAATAATAAAGATGTAGGAGATAGTCTATGATGATGAATAGGATCAGTTGATTCCTTAATGTTTTCCAAATTGCCTTGATGGTGATAATCAATTACTTCATTATTGTTTTCCAATATATGATTGATTAAACACGATTTTCGTTGACCACTTTGATTGGTAGACGGATCAGTTATAAGTGAGACCCAATTAGCATCCAGTGAGTCTCGAATCAAGGAGTTTGTTGTCAATGTTTTTAAATTATTATATCTTTCCAATGTTCCTGAGTTAACTGGTGAATCACTTGTGCCGACAATCGTTGAGATCGGTTTAAACACAGACAATGATTGTTGATTAGGTTTAGGTGCTAGCAGAGAATCGAGAGAGAAATCATAACCACCGGTACTTTCTTTTCGAGTCAAAGAACCAGTGAAAGGTGAAGAGTGCGAATTACCTGGTGATGATCTGTAAGCAAGTGAATCGTCACCATATTGTGAAGAGGATGAAGATGAATACGAAGGTGAAAATGATGGTGAGGTTGACGAAATTGGATGATCACTGTTTGAGGTAGAAAAATGTTCCATCTTATCAGTTGATTTACTTGATGACTTTTCCTCAGAAGGTCCATCGGAACCATTGGGATCTTCTATTTTACGTTTCAATCGATTCTCAGCAATTTTGGCTCTTTTAATCTTCTTCTGTTCCTCAGATAGAATCCATTCTTTTTTCATGCCAACCTGTAAACATTTTTCAAGTCGACATTTCTGACAGAATCTTCTGGTTGATTTATCAATGATACAATCGTTGTTGAAAGGACATCTAAGTTTCTGTTTAAATAGAGAAAAAAATAAAAAAACCATAGACAATTAATGAGAGTGACAACGTTATCTCAACATGTAAACAACACCCGTTGTTATGGTGCGATAAGCGCCTTAAGGCTTAACCGCAACCATATTCCTAAATGGTCTTAAGGGTAATTGTGATAATTTGGCACGTATCTTTTTCTGGCATATTGTTTTCTCTCGAACAGTAAATCAAGAACAACTTAAAATGAAGGATAATAATGAAAGGAAAGGAGAGATTGAGATTAAAATAGAAAAAGAAAAAGAAAAGGTTAACTTACCTCAGATTTAAAAGCATTTCGACGGAAAAAGGCCTTACAAGATTCACAGGTAATCGCATTGAAATTGAAGCCCATCGCTCGGTCGGAACAAACTCGACAAATTTTCTGTCTATTACCTTCGCCAACGACCTGAATCATGGTGTTGCAGGGGAAATGATGAAGAGAAGAAGAAACAAACAACCAAAGGAAATAGAATGTGTGTTTGGTTATGACGAGAAAAGGTCAATCTGATTGTTTCTAGAAAAGAACAAAAAATTGAAAAAGAACAAAAATTAAGGGTGTGAGTTAATTTCTATTCTTTTTTCATTTGGTTTCATTTTCTCTGTTCGCTTGTTTTACTCACAATTTTCTATGTTGAACATTAATCACAGAGAATTAACATGATAACAATTAACAAATATTATCTTTCTGTTCTTCAGCTTCATGTTGGAGATCAGATTAGAAATGAAAAAAAAAGCTTTTCCATTAATAACCTGTTCGCCTCTATGAGAGTTTCTAATCATCACCATTGATACACTAATCAAGATATTACGTTTAAACTGTGATTTAGTTGATAAATTGTTTCAGGTAAGAAGAGGGAGACAATTAGTTAACCATGGAATCGATGGAGAAGACAAAGAACCACGGAAGACATTTTAATGTCAATCAATATCATTACGATTAAGGTAAGATAAGATTTTTTTTTGTTTTCTATTCTTACCTGAGAATCCTGATGTTTGGAAATTAATTGTTCTCGTTGACACTTCACTTCAATTATGTTTATGGTTCCAATCATGGTGATTAAACTAATCACTAGATTTGGATGTAAATTGATACGATCAAAGGTAAGACAATTTTTTGCTTCATTTTCACCAAACAAAAAGTGTAAACATTGACAGAGTTGTAATTGTTTTCACTTGTTTTTTTTTATTTGTTTTTATTGATTTAATTACTTAGACAATTTCACCTTAAGTTATAAAATTGATAACATAATCACTGATTGGTTAGAATCCAAATCTTACCAATAACCATAAAATAAAATTGGGCCAAGAAAACTGAATTCATCTCAATGAAAATCAACAAATTTTCAAAAATCTCAACAAGTGACAATTTTGATTGTTTATTGTTCAGTATCTAAGATTTGATTGGGTTGTGGTTACAATGGTTAAGATTTGAAACATTAAAATGATTATGAATTGAATTTTGATTGAATTTGGTTGATTGTAGGTTACAATTTAGTTTACTAGGATTTGATTTCAATCTAATTTCCTTGATTTTACTTTTGATTGTCTCTATTTGTCTTTACTGTTTTTACCACCAAAGTAAAACAAGACTATTTTGTAAAGAGCATACGCAAAGAAACAAATTGCTACACTTAAGATGATTGCTTGTCTATTCGATTGGGTACTAACAGAATCAGTTGAATCGGTTCGTTGGGGCCAGAATTTATTGAGAAGGACATTTGACGATTGACGGGTCATCTTTTCGTCCATTGTTGGTGGAACACCTCGGAAGGCAACTCGTCTTTCTCGACCTTGTTGACCTTTATCGTTCTCATCTTTACTTTCAACTTTACTTTCAACTTTACCATCGGCACTTTCTGATTCAGAGGCTGATCGTGATCTTAACGAGTTCTCACCAAATGCCATCGAGAAACCGGAAGTGTCATAACCTTCACCGGGTGGACGGGAATCTTTACCTTTTTCTGTATTCGGTGATCCTGGTGATTTACTATTTACATCTTCTTTTGATGTCTTAATATTCAAATCGCCAATTTTTCCTGTTGATTTAACTTCAAGTGTCAAATTCTCTCGACTTTTTGATCTTCGACCTTTACCGATACTCTCATTGGATTTTGTTCTAAGCATCGCCTTCGAGCCAGAATTCTCTGAAGACGGGGTTTTTTTAACAAGTTCCGATGATTTGGCCTTTCCAACCTTCTCCGACGATTTGGTCTTTTTCAATTCCGTCGACTTTGGGACAATATTTTCTTTCGATTTTGTTTTACTAATACTCTTTTCTTCGGAAGATTTTCTATCAGTCACAGAATCAGATGATTTTTTACCAGTTAAAGATTCGGTTGATGATTTTTTTCCACTCATGATTAAAATAATCAATCGAAAATGAGAACAATTTAACTTGAAATTGAAGAAAGAAAATTATTTTGATCAATAATATCCATAAAAATCATTCTAAACAAAAAGGTAAACTTACAATTAATAAACTCCAATTGTTGTGTAACAATCAATAAGACAAAAAAAAATAATTATAATCAATTTTTTACTTTCTTATCCCAATTGTACAATTTAGGTGGTAAAATTGGTTCGTAGTTTAAAAGTAATTAGTTGGTAATTGCAACTCTGTAAAAAGTGAATCTATTTCCTGACAAGTATTGGAATTAATTGTCACCATGCCGCTAGTTACTCCAGGAATGATGAAGTTTCGTGAGAAGGTAAAACTTTTCGAGGACCAGGAACGATTGAAGGAAGTTCTCGAATTAAAGGACAGAATTCAACACGATTTAACTTCGTTAATCCAGAAGAAGGATGTTCGTGAATATCCGGATTATCTTTCGTTTTATAATGAATTTGGTACCATCGATTATGATGACCCGAAAAACCTAATCGCTAAGGGATCATTTACCCGAACCTTTAAGGTTGTTAATCCAAACACGCAAGAAACAAGAGCAATTAAGGTTATCAGGTTGAACAAAAGTCGACCCGAATATGTGGAGAAATTTTTACCTCGACAACTGAACACTTTGATCTTTCTAACGGAACATCAACATGAGAATATAATGAAAATTGGTGTTATCGCTCGAGCGGGTGAGCATATTTTCATAGAATCAGCATATTTTCCTCTTGGAAATGTAAAACAATATCGATCAAAGATAAAATTACCTAAACGAATGGATGAAAATCTATTACGAATTTGGCTTCGACAATTAATCTCAGCTATTGAATTTCTTCATTACTATTGTATCGCTCATCGTAACATTACACCGGAAAATATTTTAATTGCGACAGAAAATTCAATCGTTTTAAGTGGATTTGGTTTCTCACGATTTTGTTATGATGTTGAATCGGGAACCTTTAGGAAATCATCTTCCAATCGAGATCCTGATCCATTCTTAGCGCCCGAAATCATCGATGGGGAAACTGCAGACCCAAAATGCGGCGACATTTGGTCATTCGGTGCAATGTTTTACTATCTGGTCACTGGTGATCCTCCTTATTTACCCAATCAACAAATAGCCAAAGGGGTTAAGGCTTCAAATTTTGTCTACAAACCCTATCATGCCGCACGGGTTGGGGTCGCTCTGTCGGCGAGAGTTAGTCGACTCATCGAGTGCTGTTTGGTTTCAGATGCGAGCAAACGAGCGACCCTTCAACACGTCAAGTTGAATCCATGGTTTAAAGATAGTGAACCAGTAACATCAAGTTAAATTACCATTCGACAATTAATCAAAAATCAACCCAAAAAGTTAATCAACAAAAAATTGATTCCATTCAAACATTAATGATTGATTCTTAATCTTCATTGAAAAATCTTAATACCAAGAAAGTTAAACATGTATAACATTTAAAATGGTTATAAGTTAATCCCATTTATTTTAATCAGCTATACGCTCAATGAATAAAATTAATTGTAACTTTATTAATAGATTTTAATTTAATAGCAACAATTAGAACTGAAATCAAAGTATAACGAGAATCTTTGTTTGCTTATAAATACATTAAATTTCTCATCTTCCAACAGTCTAATTTACTTTACTTACTACTCAGGTTGATGAAGAAAAATCCCAACAATTAGATTATCATCATACTAATTGAATAAGTAATTAAATTAATTCAATTTAAATTTTGATAAATTTTTTTCGCGAAATGTTATTCAGCGCCATCTATTTATTTCATTTAAGACTAATGGTGAGTTTTAACTCCATCTGGTGTTTGGTTTATTCAAAATTCTGGTCTTGTTTTGGTTTTTTGTTTTTTCATGTTGATTAAATTTAGTAATTTTAATTAACCTTTATGATTATTAACGTTTTAAAATTAGTTAACAGGTATAAAGTTCATTTAACCCTTCCACCTTTGACCGCTTACGGTATCTACTGGGACTATTCGAGGACTCAAAATTGGAAAGCAGCAAAAGCTGCTGGATCAATTGGATCAAGATAAATTGAACTAGTTATTTTGTTTCCCAAGGTTAATTTGGATTTGATTGCTTTTTTCCTCTATTTAAATTTAGTTCCCGAGCGATAAAAATTAATTAATAACATCTATCATGGCTGGTGGTCGAGTTATTTTTCCATTTGCTAATATTATCTCCAGACATCCTCCCCGAGAGTACCAAACATTTTTCCCTGCTCTCCTTGGTGGTGCTATACTGTTCTACTTTCTTAAGAAGTCGGACTTTCTTTGTGATGCTGAAACTGCATCACAATTCTGGAATCGAAGTTATCTTTTTGGGCAACACAAAGGCCACGCTAATCACAAGTGGAAACACTCAAAATTCGAAGCCAAACCCACTTACGAATAGATAAACCATAGACTCTTCAAGCCGAAAGTTGGATTAATTTACCATCGTGATTATAATATTATAGTAACTCAGCAAAATGAAAAACTTGCAATTTCATTATTTAAAACAAAAACATCAATTGGTTGGGAATGAAAATCAAAAATCAACCGAAAATGTTACCAACATAAAATCTAGTTTGTTGATGATTAAATGATGTAAATTAAAACAAAAAGCGTAAAAACAAAGTCCAGCTAATCTCATTTCGGTTCAACAATAACAATCTATTGATTGTTGAGCTTTTCTCCTAAATCATTTCCCTTTTCATAGCAATTAAAAAGAAAAAGAAAACAATTGAAAACAATTAACCTTAAAGAAGGGAAAAGATTAACAAAAGACTCAAGGTTATCCGAATGGGAGAGAAAATGATTCACCATTTGAATGGAAAACAACATGACACTCACAACAATGAATTCCAATCTCAGTGTTTTCTTTTAATTCTCTTCATCCCGATTAAGATAATCATCTAATCATCAACTATGAATCTCTTAATGAACAATTAATTCCAGTGATCATTGTAATTATGATTAGATTGGTTCAACAATTTTCTAAAATTAAAGTGATCAAATTTGTTTCTCTTTCTCAACAACAACAACAACAAATCTCAAAGTGAAAATGAGGTATAGAAGATTAACTCAACGACGATTATGTTTAATTGCTGGTTTAAGTTTATTATTTATTATCTCTTATGAAGGTGGATTGTTTGTTCATCTATTTGAATTGGGTATTACAACATTTAACTATCCATTGATGGTGAACAATTTACAGGAGATCATTGATTCACATTTAAATGGTGGTGATCCAAATAGTCTTGCTTTTAAAGGTCAATCAGTGAAACCAATCAATGGTTATAATTTTAGCTTTTTAATTGCTAACGAGGATAAATGCCGATCATTAGGTAATGGTGGAGATGGAGATGATACCGCTGGTGAAGATGATGATGGTGAAGGTGGTTATGGTAATAATGGTGAGACTGAGAATGGTAACCCTGAGGCGATAAATGGTTTGATTAACAAAGACAATAGACTGAAAAGAACCAAATCAATTTATGAGAAAATTACTCTGGTGTTTATGATTAAAAGTGCTCTTGGTAATCGTGATTCTCGTGATGCGATTAGGCAAACATGGGGACGAGAGGACAGATTTTCGGATGTCCCTTTGAGACGGATCTTTGTTGTCGGTAATTGTGAAGGATCAGCTACACCCGAATCAGCTGATGAATGTGATAAATTGATTGGTAATGAATCGAGGGAATTTGGTGACCTGGTACAAGCCGATTTTATTGACACTTATTTTAACAATACGATTAAAACAATGATGGCAATGAAATGGGTTGTAACTAATTGTCCACGAACATCATTTGTCCTCTTTGTAGATGACGATTTTTACATATCACCAAGAAATTTGCTACGATTTGTCCGTCGACCATTTTATGATCCAGATGATCTAGAATCAAGGCATTCGATTCCGTCCCGATTTATACCCAAAGATGGTCGACTCTATGCTGGATTCGTTTTCGGTAAATCGGCACCAATGCGACATAAACTGTCCAAATGGTACATTTCCCTTGAAGATTATCCATATGCAAGGTATCCACCCTATGTGACCGCTGGAGCTTTTGTTTTGTCCATTCGAACGGTCAAGGAAATGTACTATGCGAGTTTATATACGAAACATTTTAAATTTGATGACATTTATGTCGGAATTTTGGCCAAAAAGTTGAACCTCGAACCTTTTCACAATAAAAACTTCCATTATTGGAGGAAAAGTTATGACCCCTTAGGCTATGGACGAGTAATCGCTTCTCATGGATTCAATGATCAAAGTGAATTGATTAAAGTTTTCCTGGAACAGAAAAGTCTAGGACATGCTTAATTGTGTGAGAACAATCAAAAAAGGATAAACATATACAATATTGTACAAACATTTTAAATCAATGGGTTTCCAATCAACATCAACAGTAATTTAAATCCACTAATGATTTCAAGACATTTTCCAAAATAATCAATACTCATCAAATTGATTAGAATCAATTTCTAGTTAACACTCAATGTTAATTAAAATCTCTGTTTTCATAATATTTATGAACCTTAGACCATCAAACAATCAACTCAATTAACTGGAAACATTTGATTTTCCTATCAAGATCTGTTTCCTCTTTGCTTAATAAAATCTTTGTAAATTATTAATAGAAACAATTAACATGTAAAAATAGTTAATTTTGGTACCGAAACAATTGTAAATTTTGAAACCACAAACGACAAATATAATTGTGATTGTATGAAATTACGTGCAACAGAATTTATTTTGTCAATGGGAGAACAAGAATTGATTTGATTGCAAAATGAAACAATTTAAACTGTAAACAATTAACAAGTCATAAAGGTTATGATGATTAATGTAAATAGTAACACTGGTGATTAAGTATTAATGGTAGATTAAATTTACAGTTAACATAAATTGTTGATGGAAAAATGGAAACAAAAATGATCAATTTGGTTTGATTCCACTTAAATCCGCTTTAATTGTTCCTAATTTAATTCTGGCCGTTGGTTTCTTTTCCGGATCAAATGGACGAACTTGAGCTAATTTGAATAACGAAAGTGCCGTTGCTGGTAATAGTCTTATTTTCTTAGCGAAAAGATGATTGAAAGACATTTCGATAAATTTGGCCATTCGCTGTTAAAAAAGAGAAGAAAATTGAGCAAACAATTAATTTTCGAGTTGTAATTTGATATGAAAGAAATTGAATATTACCACATAATGAGCATCGGCATTTTTGGTAATCAAAGTGTAACAATGATCGATGAGAAATGTCCAAGTCGATGTGTTGTCAAGGTCGAAAAGATCCAATATTTTGAGTACTTTATGAACAGTATCTTCGTTTAATTCAACTTCAGGGTCAAAGAGAACACCTTCAATTACCTTCTTGACTAGACCCTCGAATTCGGGAATCGCTTTCATAGCTGGTAATTCTCGAAGTGACCGATTATAGATGCGATCTAATGACTGATGGAATAACATTTCCGCTTTTATTTGCTTAACAAAAGTGTCCAAGTCAAGGTGTCTGTCTGAATGATACTTTGGTCGGGGTGGAGCAAGTGGAGCCTTAAACTCAAGTGTATCGGGAATCGGTGGCCGTTGTTGAACTGGTGTCTCAAAGTCCATTGGTGCCAATCTTGACCGCACGACATCCGAACTACTTGGTGGGGTAATTGGTTTTCTTTGCACAATTGGAGGTGACAGTTCATTTTCCCCTGCAAACGATGACGGTGGTTTAAGAGACGTAAGGTTAACACGTTGGGTCGATGTTGAGGTTGAGGGTTGAGGTGATTCTCGATTCCGTAAATCTGGAAAACTAAGTCGCTTCCAAACAGATTCCGAAGGTGAACTGATCTTTGATGGTGATGGAGATAAAATGATTGGCGGTGGTTTATTCACTTCAATTGTTCTGGTAATTGTTCGGGTAATTGGTTGTTTAAGTATCTCTTCGTCAAAATTGATGCTCCTTTTAACTGTAAATGGTTCAGCTGATCGTCTTGAAAAATGATCATCACCAGAGACACAAGTTACAGTTGTCGATGAAGAAGAGGGAGATTTTTTCCTCTTCCAAGTAACATCATCATTGTCAGAATCTTCGTCATCATCATCTAATAAACTACGATAATCAAATGATCCTTTCCCACCAGGATCAACCATTGTGACAAATTACCAATGAAATTACAAGATGAGACAATTAAGCACAAATAACAAGAACTAAAATTGGTTTTTGAAGATCAAAAGTCAAAGTGATTAATAAAAAAAATTTTCTTTTAATTTAAACAAAAAGATGTCACCACTTCCAATTAGAATCAATTGTTAACTTTTTCGCACTAATTAAACAAATTGATTTTCACAAACACAAAAACAGGAGAGAACAGCTAATATGTTATAACCTTTTCTCTTGTGGGCAAGTGAATCTGTCGATTTGCCCTCTGAACTCTGGACGATTTCGGATCTTTGGATGGAGATGGTTTGTTTTCCGATCTTTGGTTTGGGAGACAATCGTGGGAACGGGAAAATGTTCTGAGTTGTTTTCTGACCTACAAGTCATACAAAGTTGATTTTGGTATCTTACGATAGCTTATTGCCTATAGAGCGATTGCGTTGAGCTAACAGAATTGTTCCTGGAATGGAGCGTCAATTCGTTTGTTAGCTCTCGAAACGATCAGTCAATTAACTTTTCATTGAAAGAATTAAAGAAATGTTTTTTTTTCTGCAAACACTTAAGAAGAACTTGAAGCGCAACAAAACGTTGAAACAACCATTTGATAGCTTTTCAAATTCTGCAACAACATGAAATAAAACCAATGTCATAAATGTTAAGGGTCAAAAGTTATCGATTTTTTAAAAAAACAAACTGCAAAAAATTTGTAGGGCCAAAAATATAAAGTCTAAATATGTTTATCTTTTTCTGATCTGATCAGTAGTTTTCGAGAAAATCGAGTTCGGAGTTGAAACTTCAGTTTGCTTTTTCTCAGAAACGATAAGTTTTTAGATCATGAAATTTTTATTTTATCGACAACTTTTCATGCCCTTACAGAAAATCAGATTTGTTTTGGTAAGAAAAATATCCAAAATGCTCCGACCATAGTCCCGTTGTATTTAAATAAGTGGACCGCGATTAGTGCCAAGAACGATTTGAAACTTATTTTTGAGATTAAAAAAGTTAAACAGAGTAATCAAATCTTTGATTAACCCCTCGAAGTTTGATATCCCAGGGCGTGCGTTTGATACAATTAAAAAACTTACATTCGTCTGATGCTCTTTCTTTTCTCTTTCCCTTTCATTTGAAATGACTACTGTCAATAAAGCTGTATTTAAAATACAGTAGTGTTCACACTTGGATCGAGAATTCATTAAGGCGATTAACAAAGATGAAACTTTGTTACTTCAAAACTAAATTTGGTGTAAATTTTCCTTAAATCACATCACAAACAATTATTACGATTTACGATTTTTTATATGAAGATTTAAGAAAAACTAGGAGTCGTAAAGACGTGGAAAAAATATCAACAGAAAGAAAACAAAAATCTTCAACAACAAAAAATAGAACCAATGTCATAGTTGGTCAGGGTCAAAAGTTATTGATTAATGAAAAAAGGGGAGTTAAATTGACCAAATTAAAATATAATTAGTCTAATAAGAAGATAAGATGGAAAAGAAAGAGAAAAGAAGAGATGAATTATGACGTACGAGGCAATGGAAGGGGGAGAGAAAGAAAGAGCATCAGATGAATGTAACTTTTTTAATTGTATCAACTGCACGCCCTGGGATAGCAAAACTTTAAGAGGTTAATCAAAGATTTGATTAACTACTCTGTTTAAATTAAGCTTGACAAAATTTTCAAGAAAAAAGACAGAAAAGATGACATTCATGAATTCTATCTTCTAAAATTATTGAGGAAAGCGATCATGTTTATCGCATGGTTTTCCTTGTAACAATTATCTTGATTATAAATGTAGAGTTATCTTAATCAATTTGTTTAATAATTTTATCATCATCATGGTCATAAATATCAATAAGATAAGGTGGATTTTTCAGTTAAGATTATGCTCAGGCTAAGAAAAGTCTATGAAAGGTTAAGGTATCAAAAAATTCAGCTTAAAATCCTACAAAACGGAAAATTAGTCCGAACGAAATCTGAGCTCCCATAATGGGAGTCCCATTCATGAAAAGTTCAGATTCAAAATTTATATTGTACGCAAGCGCAGTTCAGCTTTGCAAGAGCGCGAAATTCTAAAAGCAAGAGGAAGAGACGAGAGTACAAGAACAAGAAATTTATTTTCGAATCCACGATTAATAAATCATTTAAAACAATGATTCTCATGTCATTATCCGGTAAGGCTCAAGATATGTCCGTAAGCTCAACATTCACACTTTAAGCCGATTTTTTTCGGCTTAGGCCCTTATTCACCAACCATAATCAAAAGCTGTAATCAACTGATCCTGGAATCAAAATGATACCGAGTTTAAAGCATAAAGTAATTTCACCGAGCCTGATTAGTTGATTCCGGAATCATTGATTCCGACTTTAATTTGATTTAAGCTTAACTCAAATTAAAGAAAAATTCGCTCGCGTAAATTAAGAAATTGTCCCTCGGTGGGCGTTTGCTTACATTTCTTTCCTATTTTCACTTATTATTGTTGTTTATATTGTTAGACCAATCACAGGCGTTCAACGCCCACCGACTATTTATTTATAAACCTGACCTAAGGGTAAAGTTGGGTCACTTCTCTTAAGACTCTTGAGTGATACTTTACCCTTAGGTCATAGATTGTACCCTTAACAATAAACCACTTTTCACATTTACAACCCCATTGAGTTCTCGTTGGGTTAGTTTACCCTTCAACCTTTATTTTTACTCGTAAGTACCAAGTTTGTACTTAACATTTGGCGACCCAGGCAGGATAAGAGATTTGGGAGTTTTGCCACAATGAGTGTCTCAATAGAATAGCTAATTACCGTAAATTGGAAACAAGCCTAACTACTTTTGACGATGAAACATCAATTCTTGAATCAGAAGTAGAACAATTAACTGATTTTCTCAATGAACTTCGTCCTGCCCTGGGTGATGTACAAACACTGGAAAGTGATGTTGAACAATGTAACAAAGTTTTGGACGATATTAAAATAACATTAGAAAGCAATTGTGCACTAATTATATTAAAAAGTGAACGGTTGATTGCTGAATTTGATGAATTCGATGATGATAACAATGATGATAAACTTCTTAAAATGGTTGCTGAATTGATTGCCAAAGAGTCGAGTGAAAATAATCAGCCAAAGGAATCAAATTCTTTCAAATTGACCTCAGGAAATTGGTCTTCTCTCTTGTTACCACCAATTAGTCAAGTAAACAACATAACTGATGCTCAACATAAACAAGAAATTGATAAATTACAGAAACGAATTAATGAATTGGAAGAATCTTTAAGAGAAAAAAACAAAACCATCAGATTACAACAGCAAAGGATAAACGATATAAGGAAAAGTTTTCAAAAAGGATCAACTCTTGATAATAAATTGTTTGATTTTCCAGGAAATCAAAATGATAACGAATCAACAACAACAACTGATGGCTCATCATCAAACAATTTGACAACATCGAGATCTGAAAATGGTTTTATTGATCAACAACAACAACAACAACAAGTTAATCTACCAAATCATCATCATTCTAACAATCATTCTCATCATCACCAACGTCAACTTTCCGATTCTCAATCTCCTCTTAATTGTCCAATGAACAATATTAGTTGGCAATATTTACGATCGGTAATCTTTAAATCTGTCCTAACTTCGGATTATGAGGCTCAAAAGCATTTGGTCAAGGCGATTTCAATGATTCTTCAATTTTCCGACGCCGAAGAGAAACAAATTAGAGACAGTTTAGAGCAGAAAGTTTCATGGTTTAAGAATCTTCCTCTTCTTGGAAATGGATTTAAATACAACAATCAACATAATAATAGTAACAATTCAAATCACCATTGATTGGATAAGAATCGACTTTCACATTTATATTTATCAATCGGACTATAAATATGATCCAAATTGTTACAACAATTAACTGCATTTTCATTTTCATCGTCACCCTTTACATGATCATCGCTATTTAATGATAACCTGTACCATTCCCGTTTAATTATCCAACTATATGAATCAAATTAAAACAGATATAGACCATTTTTATTTAGTGAAAGAATCAACATCATCATCATCATCATCATCATCAATTAACCTTGATTCCTCATGATTTAACAAAGAAAACACAGTTAATTGTGTGTGATTAACAACAAGTTAGTCTACCAATCATCATCATCTTAATCATAAAAATGAATAAATAAAATAATTAAGTTAATACTTACCAGCAAAGATGCCCTAATTTGGCGAGATAAACTAAAAACTTCAGCATCCTTTTGGGCTGACAATATGATCCGATTGGTCATTTCAATAGAAAAACGAATCAAAACGAATAAAACAAATTCCAAACGAATATGGAAGAATACCAAAAAAAGAGTAACAATCTAATCGAGAATGTCGCGAACTTAAAGTGACCTTATCAATAAAATGCAGGTGCATTTTAACCCAGAGACCCGGAAAATGTTAGACCAATCACAGGTGTTCAACGCCCACCGACTATTTATTTATAAACCTGACCTAAGGGTAAAGTTGGGTCACTTCTCTTAAGACTCTTGAGTGATACTTTACCCTTAGGTCATAGATTGTACCCTTAACAATAAACCACTTTTCACATTTACAACCCCATTGAGTTCTCGTTGGGTTAGTTTACCCTTCAACCTTTATTTTTACTCGTAAGTACCAAGTTTGTACTTAACAATACTTGAAATTGTATTGAAACTTGGGTGTTTTTTTCAATGTTTTGTTCGGCGTTTTTGTTTCTTTCTCTCTCTCTCTCTGTTATCACCAACCTCATATCATCCGCTCGTATCAATATGGCTACTCAAAAATCCATACAAGAGTAAGTTCCATCTGATTATTATGTTTTTTCTTAATCACTTACCTTTTTTCTTATTTTTTTTGTTTCGCTAGACTGGTGACTTTTTAAGAAAATAAAATTTAATTTAAATTAATTTGGTTAATTAATCTATTTATTAATCAATTAATTAGTAGGTTACACTTTCTTGACAAAAAAGGCGCAAATTAGAGCACATTTACATTATTATTTTTTAAATAATTGAATGAAAAATAAATTGAACTCTTTAATTAAAATGGTTTCAACTAAATATAATTTTGTTAATTTTTATCAATTAATTACTTCCCCTATCTAGGTTGTGTTGCTCGATTCACTGCCATCACACCACGACCTCTCTTCTTCCTCGATCGCTTCAGTCCAGGTTTTCTCGAGTACCAACTCCTATTGCGGGGCTTGTAAGCGCCTCTCTTCCGTGGGGTCCACCGGCGACGTTTCGGTGGGGTTCGTACACGGAGCGCTTCGTTGGTGATGCCATTGTTTGAAATTAAAATAATAGGTTTTTTCCAAAAAATCGTCTTGTTGTAACTAAACTTTACTGACAAAGCAGTGAGTGAGCCTTGCAACAATTGAAGTAAGAGGTTATGACACTGGTTTTGTTCACAAAACTCGTCAAATAATATAGTGGAACGTATTATCAAGATCTGAAAAACTAAAATTACACAAGGGAGCAGCAGGATAAAAAACTCAGGATTACTTGTAAGTGAATTGATAAAAGAAGTTTTAAATGATGATGAAGTTCCTCGGCTTGATTATGCAATTGATTCTGGATTAATTTCTGAAAAATTACCTGAAAACTCTGTTGAGATTGATTGTAATGGTGTGATGGTATTAGCCAAAATAAAAAGATCAAAACTTGATAAGGGTTTCATATGTAAAAAGTGTCGATTACAATCAAACTGGACCAAAGGAAAAATTTTTGAAAAATCGAAATTGACCGTTTTGATGTTGAAGGTCATATTTTGTTGGTGCTCAAACAATTTTTTCGATAATCGAAAAAATTTCGATTAATCGGAAAGTAGGAACTTTTTCTATTTTATTGATAATTACCAAGTTGTATAAAGAAATTCCGTGAATTTCGTGAAATCTTTGCGTACAACAACCAGTACAAACACATGGTTGGAATGACTTGGATAAGGTATAGATGATTTATGTAGTATATCTATACACAAAACAGCACGAATAGACGGTTGGTAACTCGATGAAAGTTACTGAGAAATGCTGTAAGATCCATTCACAAGCCTGAATAAATCTTATCTCTTTGTTTCATCTCTTCGTTTCAGGACATAGTTGATGGATTTAATGACACTTCAAAGCATCTTATAATGACGAGATATGGTTTTTTTCAGGGAGAATTAAGTTTTTAGATGCTTGTAATATCGATATATTGTCATTAAACAGAAAATTACCATCAGAAATTTCACATTAATCATAAAGATAACTTCGAGTTATCAAAAATCTATCAACTGTCCAATTCATTGATTTTCGGCATTTTCTACACACAAAAGCTTTATTAATAGATAAGTTTTCATTTTTTTAGCACCATTAAACCATCACAATCAATTTTTAAGCCCTTTTTGGTTCCTCGTTGAGAATTAAATCACAATCAATTATATCGGGTGGGCAGAAAAGATGTGAACTCGATATCGGGATAATCTTAGAGAATCGAATCCATTCTAGAAAATTCTGAGTTTTCTTAACCCCAATAAAACTCTTGAGATCAGCAGATTTTCAATCAACAAAAAAAAACGAATCCATTTCTTATCTCATCTCACTTCTTTAAGACCTCCTTCATAGCAACCAAATAGTCGAGATATTCTTTCAACTATTTAGTCAATTTCGCGGACAAATCAGCCAAAAGTCTCGATAGGTTCTTAATCAGCAAAAAGACTTAATCGATTTCTTACTTTATCTCACTGCTCTAAGATCTGTAATTTCGATATGTACATTCTTCGCTTATGTTTCTATTAAAGTGCAAAATCTCAAAAAGTAATAGTCATAACGAAAAAAATTGCATATTCGAAATCAGCGTGTCAAGTTTAGTTTAGAAATTTTACTTTGTCCAATTTTTGCAATTTTTCTATTCTTTTTGATGTCCTCCTTTTCACAATTTATCCTTAACATTGATCTTAATCATCTGGCCAAAATTTAAAAAATTTAGAATAGCTTAAGTCGGTTAAATCAGCGCTGACTGATTAAAAAATCATAACAAACGGTTCAAAATTTTTCGTTAGCCCCCCGTTTTCATTAATAAAGATAATTTTTAGATTTCACTGTTAATTAAATATATTTTTTAGATCTCAAAGATCAATTTGAGAGATTTTTTTATTGCAATTGGATGAGGAACAAAAAAGTTATAAAAGATCGAATTCAACATTGTAAGTGTGACCACTACTGTACACGGATCTTATAAGCAAACTTCCTGTAGAAAGTTTATCCCTTTATTACTTATTAATAATTAATCTAAATTTGTACATTATTTGGAATTCAAAAGGAATTTGTATGATGTTATTAGTGGTTTCAATTTCTCTATTGGTAAAAGTTTATAATCAGCAACTTCTTGACACATTCGATCGTAAATCGCTTGTTTAATATCATCTGAAAGGTCATTTTGATTGGCGATATAAGAAACAGCACAATCAACTCCATCATCGATCAAATCGTAATCTTTCCATTCACGTTCATTTAATCTCCAGATTAGTCTAGGGTTGGATAAATGTTCAATCCTAATTGTGGTTACACCAAATGATTGCAAATCCTTAATTATTTGAGATAAAGTATCTGGTTTCAAGTTGATAACAAGCTTTGGATTGTTGACAATTTGCGATGGTGATAAATATTGTCTCAATATTTCCAATTTTCTCTCAAAATTCTTATTAAATGTTTCATGTTGAGTTTTGGATGAAGTGAGAAAGAGATTGGAAACAAACAGATGAGCTTCGTCCTTCTTGAGTCCAAGTAATTGGCATGAAGATTCAATCAGTTTTTCTGTATTCTCTTTGTTGTAAACAAAGCGGAGGAATGAAGATTGACGAACAGCCTAAGAAAAAGAAAGAAAAACTCAAAAATTAATAAACGAATACAAATTAAAACGAAAACAATTTACCTTTGATGCCATTTTGTCAGAAAATAAACAAACTCATAAGAGAAATTTACTCAAATTCTTTCTCCAATAGATGTCACTGTCACTGTTTTCTCCATATGATTAACCGAAAAAAAAATTTCTTTTTTAAATTTTTCTTTTGTTTTGATTTTTATTGTCGATGAAAATTCATTAATTAGAATTAATTGTGATTGATTTTCTTCAATTTAATTGTTTCTCTTTTTAAAAAGTGTTTAACTGGTTCCGATTAGAAAGAAATGTCTGACTTTTACTTTCGGTATTATGTTGGTCACAAAGGTAAATTTGGTCATGAATTTATTGAATTTGAATTCCGACCGGATGGTAAATTACGTTATGCTAACAACTCTAATTACAAAAATGACACCATGATCAGGAAAGAGGTTTATGTTTCCAAAGCTGTTATCAATGAATTAAAACGAATAATCGAAGATTCTGAAATAATGGAGGAAGATGATGAACTTTGGCCACAACCTGATAGAGTCGGTAGACAAGAATTGGAGATTGTCCTGAATGATGAACATATTTCATTCACCACTGCTAAAATTGGTTCCTTGGTTGATGTTAACAACAGTAAAGATCCTGAAGGACTAAGAACCTTTTATTATTTGGTCCAAGATATCAAGTGTTTTGTATTTTCATTGATCTCTCTTCACTTTAAAATCAAGCCCATATAAGTAAAAAAAAATTCCCTCTGACTGACCAGGAAACTTGATCAAGATAACAAACCTCTCATGTAAATATTGGTTTTTCATCAATATTGAAATGATTATGTTCAAATTTTCAAGTAAAGCAGAAAAGATTCTCAACAAAAAGAGAATAAAGTTTGACCAAAATGAAATCATTACTTTATTGAATTTTCAATTATAACAGAAAAATGAAGAGATTTTAATGATTGAATTTAGTTGAATTTTATCAACATTCATTTTCGTAAATTTTTAAATTTTTATCAGCTGATCCTGAGATTATATATTTTGAATTAGTCCAATCGGTGGTCAGAACTTTATCTTCATGTCCAATTAGATCGTAAATTGGTCCACGACATGATCGTATGTCCCATTGTTTAACTAGAGAATCATAAGATCCGGAAATAAAAAGATTCTCATTCGTGGTTGACCAATTAACTGATGTAATCCAACCTTGATGAGAAGTGAAAACTGTCTTGACAATTGAACCTTCATTGGAACGTGGATCCCAAAGTCTAATATGACGATCACAAGATCCACTGATCAAACATTTGGTTAAAGGTGAATAACTGATTGATAGAAAAGCTTTGGATCCGGAAAAAGTTGAGTCCACTTTTCCTAATTCAATGTCCCACAATTTCATCGTATTGTCCATTGAACAGGTAACTATAATTGTGGGAGCATGACCAGCGGTTGAGGTATCATTTGAGTCTCTGATGAAAGTAAGGTCAGTAATCGCTTCTGTGTGGTCAGCAAGTGTCATTATCGGCGTTTTTACTTTACAACTTTGGTCATTATTATTATTGTTTCCACTCTCAGTGTTGTTATATTTCAATTTCTTTGAATCATTTTCTCCCTCTTCTTTTTCATCACCACCACTTGAAAGTTTCTCTTTATCGAAAAGAGCCCAAATTTTGAGTAATTTATCATAAGAACCGGTGGCGAAAACACCATCCTGTATATCGACACAATCAACTGATCGAGAGTGACCTTTATAAAGGTAAATCTGTTCAACCTTTTCAGCGATCAAGTTGATCTTCCAAAGACAAACAGTTTCATCATTAGAAGTTGTCACAAAAAAATAATCATCATCAGTTAAATTATCAAATCCAATCATTTGTCTACTTGGAATCCATTTAATATCTTTAATTGCTGATGAATGAGCGGGTATGGAAATGACTTGATCCAGTTTATTGAATCTCCAAATGTTAACAACTCCATCATAACAACCATTGATTATCGCCTCATCATTAGTGTCAATACAACTGATCCAATCATCAGTCGAACAGGAATTGATTGGCTTGGGTGATTTTTGACTAATAAAATATTCAATTGTTAAAACCTTTTCTTCAGGTGAAATTACATTAGACTCTGGCTCCTCTTCCTCATCAACATTTTTAAAGTGGTCAATTAATGTTGACCTTAACAAACGACCTTCAACAATGAAGGACAACTTTTTACCATCACTGATAAGATCAACTGAGGGATTGTCTTCCTTTAGAATCGTTTTAATCAAGTTCATCAACTCTTTAGGACCCAAATCACTTTCCAAACTGTAAACCGTATCAGGAATACTAATGTTGACATCTTTTGTACGAAATTTAGCAGAGTAGTTAACCATTTTTTTCACAATTTAATTAAACGATGAGGTGATGATACAGATTATAAATGGAAAGAATATTTTGTAAATAGAGACGAAAATAATGATAATTTAAATTGTGATAAAAAAGATCAGAAAAAAAAGACAGATTCTAATACGAATTAATTGATACAAAAATGACCGCATGTTCATCTCATCTGGTTGCTTGACAACAAATAGAAAATCGGTAAAATGTTTGAGCGGTGACTTCGAAATCTCGTTTGTAGAATTGATTGATTATGATTAACGAATTTTTTTATGATAAATGGTCAGTTAATTGGGACTAAATTGGGTTGGGGATAAATGAGAATCATCTATAAAGTATAGAAGTTAATCAATTCCATCGATTGAATTTTCCTTTTTGATTCCAAGTCGATTCTGGGCAGCGTGAAGGCTTCGAGTCAAATCATTCATTAATTTCCTTGTATTGAACAATCCTCTTGGTGCATAAGGGGAAAAGTCACCATTTTGCAGGGGATTTTCTTCCTTACTCTTGGCGTTCCATTTTTTCAGGTACATTCCAAGAGATTCAACCCCTTCAATCACATCTAAGGGCGGAGGTCGTTTCGAGAAACTGTGCTGTAGTAATTCACAGATTATTGGGATCGCATACCAATTGGTCAGTTCAAAGAAAGGAAATAGAAATTTACTTTCAATTCGTAGGCGATTTTCCATATCGTAAATTTCCAATTGTAATTTTATATTAAGAGAGTGAAGAAAATTTCCACCAAAAACAAGTGAATCTTTCGTAGTAAGAACTGCATGTATCCATCCAGTGGGAATAAAAAGTGTTTGTCCTTGTTGCAAGATCATTTTTTTACATTCATTTGGATCATTCAAACGATCAGGTAAGAAAACTTCATTCTGATCTGTTCGGCTCATCCAATGTTCATAGGCAGCTAAGTTAGCGGGCGTTGGTTCAATGAGGTAGAATATCTTTTCACCAAGCAGAACGTGATACCAAACCGATGTACCACCAAAATCAATATGAAAATCGGTATAACTGTCACGCATCGACATGAGACAATATTTGGATACGTTTGGCTTCATGTCAACTTCCGGCCAACCATTTTCAACCCAGCTTAATTTATTTACAATCGCTGGTGGTTTAATCATTTTACCTAATCGGGTTTTACTAACCTCTAAACTGATACAGTTTAAAATCTGATTTCGTCGGTCATTATTGATACAACGAGCCAATTCAACAAGAGGTAAACGTACATTAAGCTGACGTTTAGAATCAATAACATCAAGCTCAGTAAAACCACCGATTAGGCTGATGACCTGTTCAACACCAAAATCATCGGGCGGTAAAATCATATCAAGTCCATTCTTATTTTCAACGAAAATGGGCTTTTTGAATCCATGTTTAAGTAGATAATTTACGGTTAATTGGTTTCCTTGTACAGTTGAATAATCGGCAGTGTCAAAAGTTTTCGCTTTAAGCTTTATAATGAAGGCAGTTGTTCCAGATTGTATTCTGTCACTTGGTTCCTCCTCGTAGATATTGTGACGATGGTTATTTGTTACCTTTTTATTTGTCGAAGGACCAACTTCAGATTCACAGTGGAAACAATAAAATTTATCTATTGAAATTGATTGGTGGGCTTGAACATCAACACAGTCACCATGATACCATTCGGAGCAATGGTCACACTGTATCCAGAATTTGTCATTCTGCCATTTGCCCCCACATTCTGGGCAATAAAAGGCTCCTGATGAACTGTGTTGAGATGAGGTAGTTGTGGACATGTTGAGGAGATGCAATTAAAAAAGACTTGTACAATAAAAAGAAAAGTTTAGATTCACAATTAAATCAAAAGGGAAAAAGGGGAGACCAAAATAAATGCAAGTTTCCTTTTAAAAAATAATTGAAGGAAAAAAATTATTGTTTTTGTTTAGATACAAAAATCAATTTTCTTTAAATCGATTATTCATTTTCGATTTATTGGAAAATCGAAACAATTTCTTCCTCTTAGTTCTCTTTCTTTTCTCTTTCTTTGTAAAATCGATCTTAACGTTCATTCAATGTATCGAAAGATTTTAAAATTTTATCGATTTTCGCGTTTTTTTATTCAGTTAAAGATTTTGATCTTCAATTGAAACTTTTGGATTCCAATTAGAAATTGATATTTGTTCAAAAAAAGCTTATTTTCTGTCAATAACGTAGTACCGTTTTCATAAAACAATGAAAGATACAAGAGTTAGTTTATTAAGAAGGAAAAAAGTATAAGTGAAAATGATCGTTAATTTAAACTTTTCAACATAAATTATATTCGATTTCAAAATTGATTCCTTTTAATTTGATTGATTGCCAGCTAATCATTTGGAAAATTGTCTTCGATCGCCACCACCCGTTTTAAATGGTTTCTTATAGATATTTGATTTGGCAAATTTCTTTTCACCTCCAGGGGTAACCGATTTAAAACTAGAATCTCTTTTACGTTTTAACGTTCTATCAACAGGCTTTTTATTGTGAATCGCTGTTGATGAAAAGAAGATGAGAAAAACAAAATATTAAAGAATTTATCGTTTTAAATGTAAAGGTTAAATTCCGAATTGTCAAAAGGCAAACTTACGAAGATCAACGAACGGGGGAACATGGAAACCAAATGATTTAGCGACAGCAACCAAGTCCAAAGTTGTAACATCGAAAATACTTTTCAGATGATGTGAATCGTATGATCGAATATAACATTTATATGCTTCTTTGGCCGAAAGATTTAAGAAGTAATTTTTACCAATCAATTTTTCGAGCTAAACAATTTAAAGAAAAAGAAAATTTGTTAAATAGATTAAATAGGTTAATTCAATTTAGAATATCGATATGGACAATCGAACGAACCTGTTCTTGAATATTGGCTACTTTGTTCCATGAGAATTCAAATTCCATCAAAGGAATTTTAGATTCTTTCAGATATTGAAGAAAACCAAGTTCTTCAGGCCTGAGTAATAATAATGCATGACCAATGGCTTTGTCCCCTCGAGCTGTTCGTCCGACTCTGTGAATATATTCCTGCGAGTGGATAAAAATTCAAAATATTAGATTATTTTCAATAATAAATTTTGATCAAGTATTAATTACCTTTGGATCATCGGGAGGATCATATTGAACAATCCAATCAATTTTGGGAATGTCTAATCCTCTGGCTGCGACATCGGTACACAAAAGGATACCCGATTCAGCGTTACAAAATTGGAAGAAAGTTGTTGTTCGTTTGGTTTGCTTTTGTTTACCATGAATACACATGACAGGAAGATCAATGTAATTAAGAAGTTCATGATGAAATTTAACGGACATACACGAAGAAAAGAAAACCATAATTTTCTTATTTCGATTTTTCTTCAAAAATGTAAACAAAAGCAAGAATCGTTTATCACTCGGAGCAATTACATATCCTTGCTCTAAACCTTCAACCGTTGCAGTTTCTTTGGTGTCCGAAATACCAACGTACATTGGTTCTCCTTTTAACGCTAAAGAGATAAGATTTTCCGTCTTTTGAGTTAAAGTTGCACTAAATAGCATAGTCTGTCTCCTTTTGGGTAGAATTCGAATGATTTGTTTCATCTCTTCTTCAAAACCAATGTCAAGTATCCGATCAGCTTCATCAATAACCAAACATTGTAGATTCTTAAATAAAAAGTTTTTAGTATTTTGTAGATGATCCAAAAGTCTACCAGGAGTAGCGACCAGTATATTAACCCCTTTAATCAATTTGTCTGCTTCTGATCGTCTATTTGTTCCTCCCATGATTAAACCAAAGGTATGTGAATGGTGTTTGATTAAATCCTTGAGAACACCAAATGTTTGCATTGAAAGTTCTCGAGTAGGAGAGATGATGATAACACCAGTCCCATTTCTAGGCATAAATTTAAGTTTACTCATCAACTCGATAGCTGGAATAAGAAAGGCTAAAGTTTTACCAGAACCAGTTTTAGCCGATCCAACAAGGTCTCTGAACAAAAACAAAACACAAAAGTTACAATTAACCAAGAATCTCATTAAAAAGAGTCAAAGGAAAAGCACAAATGTAAAAAACAAAACTTACTTTCCATCCAATAAATGAGGAATTGATTCAGCTTGAATTTGAGTCATTCGTTTAAATTTCATCTCTTCAAGAGCTTTCAACGTTTTATCAGATATTTGATCACTGAAATCAACAAATTTCGATTGGGACAAAATGTTATCCCCGACCAGACATTTCTCAACATCCTCAGTACCACTTTCCTCATTAGTCATGATTAATTAATTACAAGAAAGAGAAACAAACTGTGAAAACAAAACCTAATAAACAATTAAGATAAAATCAACATGAAAACAAAATCACATTTCCAACCAAAGACACATGGAAACATCTAACAACAGGAGGAGCTACGACCCTTTAAAAGAAGCGCGCGCTTTTCAAAAGAAACAATTGATTATCAAAATGAAGAAAAACAAAAACCCACCGAGCGAAATTAACTAATTACAATTGAATTCATGATTTTATAATTTACTTTTACTGCTCTGATCAATTTAAATGGGCAATTTTTGCAATTGGAAGTGATCGATATGGAAACAAATGAAAGTAAATGACTTAATTAGAATACAATTAGAATTTAAATTATAAGTGATTAGTAAACTTTTATTACGAACCAAAGTGAAAAACAACAATTGAATTTAGGATAACAATTTATTTATCTCTAATTTATCAACCTTCTTTGGATCATTAAACAATTGGCCATTTAGAGAGATCTAAATGATAATCATCATTGGAATGATTTATAATGACAAATGTAAATATTAATGGTTAATAGAAGCTAATTAAAGGTAAAGATATTTTTACTTTTGATCAAGTTAATTATGTTCACTATCAAACCTCCAGAACTTAACCCATTCAGATAATTACCAATGATCTTTGTATAAATAAATATGATCATCAGAATCTTAATCATCATTATTAAAGTATAAAAAAAATAAATAAAGATATGGAAAAGTATTAATATAAGAATAAGTGAAGAAGAAAAAAAAAATATGATCGAAATTGAATAGAATCATTATTATCATGAATGGAAGCTGATTCCATGAAGAATCATCTTAGAATCATCTGAGTAACAATAATGAAGATAATAAGATGACAAGGAAGAGGAAATAATAATAATCATGAAGGAAGAAAAATTGATGATCCAATTTTGAAAGAAACTAATATGATAATCAGCTGAACAATTAGTATTACATGGAGCCGAAAAAAATTGATTCCCAGTTGATAATATTGTTGTTATTTTCTTACTGTGTCACCAAGACAATCAATCTTAATTGTTGTTACCCTTGTGGTTCATGGTAATCAAAGGATAAACTCAATGAAAGGTTAATCACTGGTTAACAAATTATCTTCATCTATTATCATTAAGATGAAAAAAAAGCGAGAGGGATGAACATGAATAAGGTAAGAAAAATTCATGAATGAAATATGAATTTCTCATGAGTCTTTATCTTCATTTTTTTCATCCTCATCTTTTATTTTCATGGGCGAGTTCAGATTTAGATAAATTCACTTCCTACTTTGTAATAGATGTTATTTTTTGTTCCTTCTTTACCTTCATGGTTCCTATTTATTTCCAACTGAATAGTAATCATGTTGAGACAGAGAAAGTTCAGAAAAGTTTATCATTATATTTTCTTTCCCCTGAATCATTGGAAACTCTGTTTACCTTTAAAGCTATTGTATTATTCATATAACTTTTATTTCCCTCATCATTTTTGTCATCATTTTCCTTCATCTTTAGATAATAATAATTTTCAGTACATAGAAATACTCATCATCATGAAGCAAAATGAATTCAAATAAAAGAAGAAAAAAATGATATTTCTATTTACTTTTCCATCATGATGAGGAAGATGATAAAGATAAGTCTGAAAGCCTTTTACCTTTATCATCATCATCAGAAAAAAAAGATAAACCTTATTACACCTGAGAAAGATGATGAAGATGATGAAGATAAAGGAGAAAAAGCTTTTTCTCCTATTTTCATCATCTCTCTTTTTTCTTCTTCTTCTTTTTTATCATCCGCATCCTTTTCAAAATCGGATAATGATAAAAGGTAATATAACAATTTCTCATCATTATCATCTCCATGATGATAATGATGAAGATAATAATCGATTATCTAAAACCAAAAGTTTACTTAAAGTCACTTGAACTCAATCAAAAACATTAATCTAAGTTACATTAACTTTATCTTTCTCTTTGTGATTTATTATCCGATTTAATCTCTGAGAAAACTAATCTTAATCATCTTCCCACCCCCGCCTCAGGGAACCATCAATGATCAGCCGTTATAAGATTGACCAATAGATTTAAAATGATGAATGACCAACATAAAAGGTCAATAATATAACCTACAGATAATTTGTAACTTTGCAACAACAAACTTTTCATATTTGTTTCGAACTCTCTTCTAAGTTAATTTAATTGATTTACACCGATTCTAAATTGTTGACATAATAAATTTTAACCTTTTCCATAATCAAATTAATCTCATCAATCATTTGAATGTTTTCCTATTACAAAATCTCCATAAAACTCTGAGTTACTTTAATTATCGTTTCATCATCTCACCCAAATCCCAATGGAAATGTAATCAAATTCATCTACCAAAATATGATAACATCCATTAGAGATAATCATTTATTTACCAGATTAAACTAATTATCATCAATCGAGATAATCACCAAGAGAGAAAAGTTCGTATGAATGAAATTCGAGAGTGCAACAATTACAATTACAATTTGATTCCGTTAACAATTGGAAGATCATTTCAGATAATAACCATTCAACTTTTATGTACATAAAACTTACACCAAACTAATTGGTTTCATTTGGCATTTTCAGTCTTCAAGAAAACTTTTCCCACCCTGAGGGCATATAAATATCATCATGTTGACTACGATTATCACCCAATCCCAATCAATACGAATGCTAAACTAAAGACTGAAAATAAACAATTTATATTATTACCTGAGTATTTTTTTTTCATCTCTCAGATAAAAGTAGGTCAATAGTTTTCCCATAAACTATTATAACAATGTTCATGTAAATGAAAACATGAATTTCAAAGGTAAACCAAACAATTAAAAGTAATCAGTACCAATTAACTGATAATTATATATCTCCAGTGATTTGTGATAATTATTAACTGATTAATATACAATCATTTAGTGCTTCATTTTGATTCTAACAATTTATCTCACAATTTAACAATTGGATACATTGATTGATCCATTGATAATCACAAGGAGAAAACTTTGTCAACCATAAACAATTAAAAGGTAAACCAACCATTAAATTAACTTAGATATTCCTTTGAACAATTTAATAGTTTAATTGAAAAATGGTCTCTATTAAAATCAACTAACAATGGTTGATAATCAATGATGATCACAATGAATACTATTAATATTTGTGATGATGAGAAATGAAAAATTCATCTCAATTTCATTTTCTCCTTATTAATATTTGTTCATTTTTCTGGTTTGTTTATCATGGAATATGAAGTTTTATCATCATAAGATATATATTAGTCATCTTCATCATCTTTTCCTCTTCTGTCTGTCATCATCAGAATTATCATCATCATCATCATCATTTTGATAGAGAAAATGATTCCCTTGGTGACCTTATTTTGGTTCCAATAAAATGCTAAGGCAACAAACTAATTTCAATTAATATTTCCGGTTAATAGGATTGAACCAGATTGGAACAGGTTGATTATCAGTGAGTAATCAGTAGGAAGATGATATAATTTATTTCTGTTATTACTTTTAATCATCGTTATCATCATGAAACAAATGATGGAAAATATCATATTGACCATGATCATAATCAACAAGAATCTAAAGGTTCAATTGGTTCTGAGTTTTATGTGTCCAGTTAAATTATCATGATGATAGATTAAATTGTTGATTATGAGAAAAGAAATAAAGAGAAAGAAAAAAAATTTCCTTTCTATACAGTAATTAAAGTTAATTTCTCTTGTTAATTATCTGATTAAATTGTGAACATTTCATGATAATTCAACATTAGGAAAAATGAGCTCAGAACTTTTTTCTCTTCTTCTTCATTCTAATTTTTAACTCGATCTCTAGAGCTAATTACTTGACCATTAACTCTTAATAATCACCATAACTTGACCAATCTTCATGATGAAGATTAAAAAGATTCTGAAAAAGTTATTAAAATAATTTCTATGAGAAGTGAGTAAAAAAAAATAAATGAATTCCCATTGACAGTTAATGTTGACAATTGATTTAATTGCTATTTAACTCCAAGGTAATTTACAGAGTTAACAATTTAATCAAACAACAAACAAGATTTTGTTTTTTAATTGTATAAGCTTGACATTCACACATACACACACATTGAATTACAATCAGAATCTGAAACATTGCCATCAGGTAGATGAAGATGATTAAATCAAAAAATAAATGAGATCCCAGAATGAATAACAATTAACCATGATGATGATTAGATTAGATCAGAAAGATAATCAAGAAAACAAGAAAAGGAGAGGAAGACAATCAATTTTAATTGTGTTACTATTTCAAGAGATTGGCCAGAAATTTAATCTACCAGAAATCATTGATTGTTTCCTGTAGGCAATTGTAGTTGATTAACAATCAAGATAAACAAAAAGCTCAAAGATAAATTGATGACGATGATTATCAATGATCAACCTGATGATTACTCTGTTTGGTTTATAATTTTCACCTTCAATGGTAAATTAATTCAGTATGAAATGAAAAAAAAAATAGATATTAGATTGATTATATAGCAAAGTAATTACATGTAACAGTTAAATAGTAAACAAGTGAAAAGTTCAGAGTCTTCTGAATCTCTGCATGATGTTTGATATTTGGCTTCACTTTTGTTATCATTGAATCTGACATTTTGATTCCTTTCACGTTATATTATATTATATATTCACAATTATAATAATATTTATTTATTTATCATCTTTATTCAGGGTAATGCCTTTTGGAATTTAAATCAACCCTGGAATCATGAATTTATCATGTTGATCAACCAAAAGAATTGAACCAAAATCAGTGTGAATCTTTTCCTTTATCTTGCAACTTTTATAATTCACATTAAACTGTCAACTAAATTAGCGATTAGAAAAGCTAATTGTAAACTAAACTCTAACCGTCTAATTATAATTATCATCGCAAGAGATTATTTGAAATTAGCGGTTTATTTGAAATCCGAGTTTTTATTTCTTGTATTCTGATTTTTTTTTCTCATGATTTCCATGGAATCAGAATCATTGGAAATACTCAGTTGATTGTTGATAATTTGACGTTGATAAAAAGTGTTGATAATTTGCAATTGTGACCGTAAATAAAATGTCAAGGAAATCGGAATCCTTGCTGAACATTAATTTAATTAGTGAATTTGGATTCCATCTTGGATTCTCTCTGTTTAAATTGTAACAGTTAGTTGCAAGTTGAGTGAAATTAATCTCCCTGGTAACTGGAATGAAATGGAAATGTTCAAAAAAGCATTAGTCGAAGGAAAAAAAGTTCTGAATTCGAGATTCGAGTTCATTGATTACTTTTGGGTTTTATTGGTTCTTGAAAACATATCCATTTATTTGCATCAATTTAGTGAGTTAATGTTTTTAAAATTGATATAAAGTTGATTCCTAATGAAAACATATCAGTGTGAGTTAAATCAATTGCCAATTGATCATTAATTAGATCAACAGAGAAAGAGGAATCATTAAAACATGATTAAGATTTAAACTCATTAACTGATAATGATGATGAAGCAATTAGAATGTTCAATTTGGCGATTGGAGAGACAGACAGTCAAACTAGGAAGATGGTGATGATGATGATGATGATGATAAGGATAAAATTTCCATGCTGAATGATAACGATGAAGATGAACCAGAACTTTTATCCTGAATTAAAAAAAATATTCGAGGCACTATGAAGATGAGAAAAAAATAAACTAAGTGCACTTGAGATCGATCAGTTTTAACGATTTTTTTATCTTCCATTTCAATATCATCCTGTATAACTCAATCATCTTCATGATGCATCATCATCATTATTACAATATCAGTTCAATTGTTGGAATAGATATTAAATAATAACAATAACATCTATGATGAAAGAGAGAGAGAGAGAGAGAGAGAGAGAGAGAGAGAGAGAGAGAAAAACAAAACCTATTCATCTGTTCATTGATTTAAATCCTCATCAATTCACGTATCATCTTCATCTTCATCATGATAACAAATAATATCATCGGAAAGAGAGACAAGATATTTTTTGGAAAGATTCACGCAAAATCATTTCAACTTTCACTATCATCCTCATCATCTTCATCTTCATCATCAGGAAAAGTATTAGATGATATATTATATCATCTCTATCATCATACATATTTATTAATGGAGTGAGATAAAGGTGAGAAGAAGGAAAAAAACTATTACATCAATATAAAGAAGATAAGAGAGAGAGAGAGAGGAGGAGGAGGAGGGTTAGAGGGAGAAGTAAGAAGGTTAGTGAGAAAAAAATGATTCAAAAATAAGGTAAGAAGATGATGAAAGAAATGAAGATGCAAAAGAAAAGATGATAAGTTTATTTCAATTTTTTCTCTCTTTTAATGTGATACAAAGATGCTGATCAAAAATCGGTGACCTAGAAATCCAACAACAAACACAACAAGAAAAAAAATATGAGAATGAGGAAAGAGGAAGATGATGATAAGGATGAAAATGAGGCAGATAAAGGTAACAACCTAATCATAATCATGCGAGAATGAGAGTTGTCATCACTGGAAAAAGGATGATGATGAAAAACTAGCAAAAGGGTGTTGAGTCTTATTCCGATAAAAGGTCATGAATAGAACTTTTTTTCATATTATATTCGAGCAATTTTTACCTGAGATCGATAAAATTTCCAAGGAGTGTTATTCATTTACGCATGATCATCGTTTAATATTGTCAGAGGAAGATGATGATGATCAACATGAAGGAAAAAGAAGAGAGAGAGAGAGAGAGAGATAAAGGGAGCAAAAGAGAGAATGAGTGAATGAATGAAATTCGAAAGAGAGTAACACAGAGAATGAGAAAGATAATCATGAAGACAGAAAAATAGACAGAGAAGGAAGAAGATGAAAACAGTGAGAAAAGAAGAAGAAGATAAGGATGATAAAAGATGATGATGATGATGAGAAGGAGGAAAAATAAGGTAGAAGTGTTTAGACTTTTGTGTCGTTAAGGTTATGATTGTTGTTGGAATATAATTGTGACCATCAACATATAAAATCATTTAGAGAGCAAAATATTGACTCGAAATTACAGTGATCAACATTGTTCACGGTTCATACAATCAACAACAATCAGTTAACTATTTTTTATTCCTCATCCTAATCATCATCATTATCATCATTATTAATAAACACTAATGTTGCAATTCTATGTGATTATAACAATAGGAAACAAGGAAATTGTAACAATCAACTAACCACTGTTGATATTTTCATATTCACTAACAGGGAATTGATGTTATCTTATATTATTAGTGTTCACATTTTATTCAGTTTTTAATTGTCTCATTATTTACCCAAATATACAACTGACAATTAGCCTAATTATTTCATCACAATTCACCATTGAACTGCCATCTAAATATTTGGAGAATCATCTAATTATTGTGATTCAGTGATAAACAATTTAATCTTCTAATTGTAGTTTTTTTTACTGTCAATTCAGTGTACTAATTGTAATAATAATTACGATAATTGATCAAAGTGTATTTTTAATTGTGCTACTTTGGTAAATTACATTGTGGATTAGATTAACATCGGTATATATATAAATTGGATTCGGTAATTGTTGGATTAATTTTGTTTGATTATTTTTTTTTCGTTTCGATAACAATTAAGAAAGTAAATTAAACAAAAATCAAAAGTGAAATCATGAATCGAAGCAACTCTCGATTAGAAGTACCTCAAGAATTAACTAATTTACTTCTCGATTTTACTGTAAGTGTGCTCATTAACAAACCAGGGGATCTTGTTGATTATGCAGCAAATTATTTCAATCGGATGAAAGATGAAAAAAAGACAACAACAATTAGATCAACATCAACAACAATAACAAACCAATCGGATAAACAGCAACAACATTTGGATGAAGAAAATGAAATTGAAGATTCATTTGATTTCAGTAAGTCTCCTAAATCTCATATTAGACTCTAAATGGTTGTTCAAAAATAAAACTACTTCCATTCATCCTTATCCTCATCCTTATCCCTTTAGCATCCTTCATCCTTCATCCCTCATCCCTCATCCCTCATCCTCATCTATTTATTTATTCAGTTTCATTTTGAGAGTAACTTTCAACAGCTTTCAATCAAGTCTTGTAATTCCGTTTCCTCTTATTTCCTCCTCTTTTCATCAAACATAAACACAAATTGATTGATTTGTTACCTGAAAGAGAGAGAGAGAGAGAGAGTGAGTGAAAGGATGAAGATGATGAGGATGAAGAGTGAGAGGAAAATAGTAAAGAGTGAAAAAAGCTGAAGATAAATTCAATTTGACTTACAATGCAATTAGCTTAATATGTACACACTTTTATCATCAACACTTTAATAATCAAGAGTGGGAGGTGGATGATTAGGATGAGGATGAAGATGAGGAGGGAGATGATGATAAAGAAGAGGTAAAAGTATTGATGATGAAAAAAAAACCTTTTATTCAATGCCACTCATTTGATATTAGATTTTCATATTACATTGTCAATAACATCATACACACAATTTACATCATGTTGTTACAATTAAATCAAATTCATTATTATCACAAACAATTTAATGTCTTTCCAATCATCATATTCAAATCCTTGTATGGTTACAATCAATCAATTGTTTTGTCTTGATATTTGCAATCAAATTAATCAAAGAAATGAAAATATAAAATGTCAACATTGATGAACAATTAAACCTGATTTCATTTAACTGTCATCTAATTGACTAGTTTGATTCCAATTGAATTGAACTTTGATTTAATTGTGAATTAAACTATTTTTTTTATCTTCATCATAATTGTTACATTTTTTTAATTCATTATTCAGTTTTCTCATTGTTATTAAATCATGATCATGTTAAATTAGTTTGTAAAATTAATTCATCACCATGAGAGATAATCATTTATAAATGAGGAGTAAAAAAATTGTTCATTTGAAACAATTAACTAAACAAGTTGACAGTTAAAACAAGACATACATATAAGCCTCGTCATCTAATTGTATTATGTCAACAATTTAATCATAATCAGTAGCAACAATTAACAACAACAACAACAACAACAACAAAACGGACAAAACGAGAAAAACATTTACAATTTACTAATTGTTGTGAAAAAAATTTCACCAATTTTCATCATCTAACTGATTTTACCAATACAATTATCATGATAATGATCAGCTAATGGTTAATGAAATGAAAACATTAACAATTTGATTAGTTGATCAAAGTTTAAACAATCAACAACCAATGTGAATCAATTGATTAAACTTACACTGATTAAAAAGCCAAAACAATTTAGTGATGTGAAAAAAGTTCACTAATCATTATTAAAGTGAAATTATCACAATCTAATTGATAACAATTAATTTAGATTAGTTGAGTAAAAAAAAAGCTCTCACATTGACTTCTTATGTTAAATTCCCATAGACTTGATAATAATTAGTCTTCCCTTTTAATTATATTCCTCATCATTTTATTCATTCATTATTATCATTTTTTTCTGCCAGTTATCATCATCATCATCTCCATCCTCATCTTCATCATTTGTCTATGGAAATGCTAATAAAAAATAGTCTCTTAATCAAACAACATCATTATTCATATATGCAAAATCCTTTTTCAACTGAATTCAAATTCGCATCCTCATCTGATGATAACAGTTGATGAAGCAAATGATGATGATGATGATGATTAAAAAAAAGATTTTCTGACAAATTGTCATTAAATTGTCATCAGTTAGAATTAACCTTAATTAGAATCAGCAGAACTTAATTGCAATAATGATGACAATGATCAAAAGAAATAAACATCAAGATGATTAGTGAACATTGATTAACTTGGATCTAGAATATTTTCTTTGATTGTGATAATATTAAAGCCTTTCCTTTGATTTTAATTGTCAAACAAACCTTAACAATTAGTGAGAGAAATATAAAATAATACAATTAACTGATGTAAACTAATATCTTCTCAATGTAAACATGTAATCAAATCTGATTTAAAGTGTTTATTAATTGTTGTTGTTTCTATTGATTACTGGGGATGATGAAAAAGCATTAAAAGCAATTAAACCATCAAAAAGTAAACACAATTAACTATTTACATTAGTGATTAAAGTTAACTACTCGATATATATTTTAATACCATTGGACATGGATCATTAAAAGAAACTAAATTAACCTGATTAATTTCAAGTAAAAACAACAACATGATTATATCATGGAGTCGATTTAAATTGTTTAACATCAATCAAAACTTAATCATTCACAATTAAATCTCTGATTTACTGTTAAATTAGTAGGCCAGAAAAAAGGCAAAAAAAACAATTGAAATATTGACCATTGAAAATTGGAATTGTAATTAAAAGTTTCACCAATGATTGATTATGGAAATTTATTTCTTCCGATAAGTTGATGAAGAAAATCAATCGATTATCAACAATTGGTACCAGTTAATTGTTCACAATTATAATTGACCACCAACAACAATCAAAGTGAAGAAAGGTAACAATTAACAATCAATGGAAAAGTGAGAAACTTTAATCAGAAATTGAAAGTTACCTTGAAGTTTTTCAATGAAAAAGATGAGAAATTAATAGAAACCAGAATCTGATCGAGTTGATGAATTAAAATCAATGATTACAAAGCCTATTGTTAAATTGTTGATTTGTTTATTTATCTCAATGAAACTTTTCAACAATCAAAAGTTATGATTAATTCAAGCAATTTAAACAACTTAACTGTTGCAAAGATTGCGAAGCAAAAAAAATTTGATTACAATCATCAAATTGAAATCAGTGATACTCTTTGATGAGTTTGATTTGAAGTTTTCATGTTCACATGATGAAATATATACAAAAATTGTTGAAAAATTCTGATCATGATTTCAGAATCTGACTTGAATCAGATAGAAAGTAAATCAAAAATTAAATTGATTAGTTTACTATTGAGAAAATGCTTCATCATATTTGCAAACATAATCATCATCACGATATCTAGAAACGTATTCAACTGATCAGCATGATGATTAAATTGCTGATTTGATTGTTGAATCAAAGTTTAATCTGATTATTGTGAAAAAATATCAAGCAATCAGTTGAAATTATTTCAATAATTTTACATTTTAATCATGAAGTTTAAAATGTTTATCTTCAGGTTGCCTCAAGTAAATCAATGGGAATATTTCAATTTTCATCATTCAGACTGATTAAAGTTGATGAGATTAATCATCATCATGATTATCATGAGATATATGTAATATTGAGTAAAGAAAATGAAATTTCGCCAGATTGAAATGAGAAATTTTTTCATTTTTCTTTCTATGAAGTATATTTTTTCTTCTTCCACCTATCAGTAAACTTCATGATATGAAAAAAGTTCTGAACCCTCTGAATTTCTGGTTTTTCATTGCGTGTTAACCATTATATTTATTTCTCACTGTGTGTGTGTCTAACTGTGTATTTGAATGATGATGATGATAATGATGATAAATATCACATATGTTATAACATTTTCTTTCCCTGGGATTGAATTGAAGCTCAATGTTATTAGTCACTTGGTTTATGATAACTGTTCATCTTCATCAACATCAGTCAATCTAATGCTCTAGTCTCTACCATCATGATCATAACCCACCATCACCCTTATTATTACCTTTACCACCTCCATAGAGATTGAATAATCTTTGTTGTCTGTTTTAAATCACGAAAACTTTTTTCATGGAGATTTGAATCATTTCCGTTCAGATATCTTTACACTCTCACCTTAATTCCTGGAGTTTCCTGAATTCCCTCAGATTGATAAACACTGAAAATAAAGGATGAAAAACTTTTCTCTCAAAAACAATTCCTTCTCAGCTCTTGACAATAATCTCATGAAATCTAATGAGTCTTGTTCAATGAATATTGTTCAACAAATCAAAATATACCCAAAAGTTTCATTTATGATATTATCAGGATTCAGGAAATGATAAAATCCCCTGATTTCAACTGATTGTCCATCCAATTATCTGATGGTTAGTTTAAACTACTCTTATCAAATTGTTTTCATGATTAAGCAAAATTAAACCTTTATCATCAAACTTAATCAACTATCATCACAATCAGATATGTTTGTCAACATCAATCATTCAAATTGCAACAATTTAAAATAATCTAAATTGCTCCAACTAAATCAACTTTCTCTGATTAACATACAACTAACTGATTACTTTTGATTCCTAAAGTTTATTTGAAGGTCAGAAATTGATTTATTATTTTACATCCAAATGATTTACATAAATCAATTGTATCTTTTTCTTAGGTTACAATGTATTAATATTTCCTTACCTTTGGTTACCTGAATATGATTACGTTTACCTGGTGTATGAATGAATTTACAAGGAAAATACAAACAATAATAATCAGTTATTGTAATTGATTCGAGTTACTGATTTGAATAAAAGTTTCTTATTCGCAATGATAACTGATTATGTTTCATAAAGATAAGTGAGAGAAACATTGATGAAGCAAAGGGAAAAACATTAAATCTCAGGTAAAAGAAGATGAGGAAGAGAAGAAAAAATCATCCTATTTACCTTGATTTATCTTCCAAGGAAAATATATATGACTGGGAGAGAGAGAGAGAGGAGATTGAATCAGAAATGATGTAACTAATATTGGAAACCATGTAATGTGTTCATGGTAAAAGTTCAGAGAGAAACTGTTGATGATTAAATATTGTTTCTTTCCTCTTTCATGTTAACCTCATCCTCCATCTTATCAACATCATATTCTGTACCTCATCTCATGTATTTTTCCACCTCTAACCTTCCTAACTCACCTGAACCATTATCAACACAAACACTACCTTTGGAAATACAATTTAATTCAGAAACAATCATGTTGATTGAATCATCTGAATTTGCTTAATGTCACTGGGGA